GATAAGTCTTTGGTAATTTATGAGGACATGGCCACATATTGTCAAATGGCCAAAAGGAATGTCTCCCCACTTTTTATTCCATTGCCTATTTGTATTTGCTTGTGCAGTAATACAATATCATATGTGTCATTAGATGATACAATAAATGTCATAAACTTTATAATATCTTTATAGGAAGTGCAATTTAAGGCACTTTTTTAGAATATGTGGTAAAAGAGAGAGAATTTTTAGAAACTGACCATAAATTGTCGGTTTAGAAAAGAAATAAATATCAAAAAAAGAGGGATTTGTTCTAAAAATTTTAGTTTGAATTCTATGTTGAGGAAATATCTCAAGTATTTGATACCTCAAGTATGAATTTTCGAAAATATCCTTTTGGGTGAAGAGGAATGAAGCTTGGTGTTAACGTTGAAATATTTTTCTAATTCCTTCCAAATTGATCTTATTATACATACATGTACAGCCTCCAGTTTTGATTAACTTGTAATTATCACCAAAATATGGAAACTCTAATTTAAAAAAAAAAAATCTTTTCTAATATCGATTCTTTTATCTGCTGACATATAATTTGGAGTATATAAATAATTTAAAAAAGGTGTCAACATTTAACTCAAAATGTATCACCAAAATATGGAAACTCTAATTTTATACCATTCACTTTTTTATCACCAAAATATGGAAACTCCAATTTTAAAGAATTCACTTTCCGAAGTAACTTTTGATAGGAAATTTTATTTAAACTCCGCAAGTTCCCACACAGATAGCAATGCTCTTGACCTTAAAATCTCTGATGTCTATTTTAAGCACATGCCAACTTAAATTTGTTCTTTTTCTGTTTGCTCATAATAATTCCAATAAATCCAACTCTTGTAATATATCATCTGGCATGTCAATCACTCCGGAAAAAAAACACGCAGATCATGTGTAACCGCAAACAAAATACCTCAACACAGCGCCAATAAATTTCTTCCTAACAAACCAGATCAAGAGCATGGATATGAGTTTCTTCTGTTCGGCAAAAAATAATGATGATGATAATGCACATTTCAATTTTACCGGGATCTTCTTCTTCTCCAACTCAGACTCAGGTGTACTGGCAGAATTTTTCTTAACCATTCTTTTTTAGCTTAGTTTTCTTGTTCTTCTTTTTGTTGGTTGGGTTTTGTGGTTTACATTCTTAGATATTTTACGATTGTTTGCATATTTTTGTGAATCTTGAGAATATAAGTGTATGTTAGTCTGTCTCTATGGCAAGTTGTTAAAATGCATAAAAATTACAGTTAGATTTTGTTTTACTACCCCCCAACCTCCAAAAAAAACACCGCCAAACATTATGCCAGACCACATGTCCCGCTTTACATAAAGGGGGGGCCATATGTACTTAAGCCTTGCCTTGGATGTTTGTAGCGGCTGGTTGGTGGTATTGCACTTGAAATTGCATTTTGTTCGGTTGTGTTTTCTGCTATTTTTACGAGGTCGTTTTCCCATTATTATTATTAGTATTTTTGCTGAACTGCAGATAACTATAAAAACGGCTACGTTTGGTACTCCTCTGGTACTTTTGTTGTAGGTTGGTAGTTTGGCTACGCAGTTGTGTTACATATGTTTTATGTCATCTGCTTGAGGTTGTTACAACAGGAACATGGAGGCATGGACTTTTTTTATTTATTTTCTACATTTTACCGTTATTCGGGAAAATATACATGCAGCAAGTGCCTTGACTTGTCTTCGTGCGATAATTAAAGTATTTCTTACAATATGCCTTATTATTTTGTAAACTAGTTAGGGAGAGAGCGGGTGAGAGGCAGAGGGAGGGAGATACGAATGCTTGTGGGCTGGGTTTTATTACTCAATGGAGTAGCATTCCTTCTGTACTGATTTTAGGCCCACAGAAATAGATATTTTTTCCATTTTAAAGAAATTGATGTTCCCCATGGGGTTTAGAAAACAAAAGACTTAAGACACATACACGATATTAATAAATTTGTTTTTTTGAAAATTTTTAATTTTCCTTGTTCTAGTGGAAAATGGGAAAGTAAATCGTTTTCGTATATTACATCAGCAGTTCAATGACCCCAGTTTCGCTGCCAAACTATTACAACACCTCCAAACCAAAATGTAAACGATACCCGTAGAACTAATACCACAAAACAGCACACGCTCCAGAAGTATTTTGTATTTTTAGATTTTATTTCACCTGGATACTCAGACCAAGTCTCTGCCATACCTAAGGCCAATTTTAAATACTAGACAACATATGTAGGTACGTCTACATACATGCATGGTCATACAACATATTTTTGCCAAGTTTCTTTCGTACTTGTGCCTGGAAGAAGGTGGTTCTTGTTGCTGTTTTGTTCTTTCCATTAGCTTCAGTTCTGTAAACCCAGATATTTACCTAGAATCTTTTATGTTCTACATACATATGTAAAGAATCTCTGTAAGTGTTTGTGTAAATATGTGTGAAATATGCCATCTTCAAATAGCGCGACTGCTATCTTCCTCATAGCACTAATGTGCATTTAAAAGTTAATTAAAAAATCTAGTAGAAGAAGAAGAAGAAAACGTCTACGGTACATAATCAACAGCATTTCCCCTTAATTAACACTTTAAAAGGAATAGACGAAGTGAGCTTGATACTCTAAAGGAATGATCACAGGCATTACAGATTCTGTAATAGAGAAGATGCGATTTCTTAGGAAAAAATGGGAGCATGCAGAAGAAGAGGTTTGTTTGGAATGAGGAGGACTCTACACCCCGTATAGCGATTAACAATTGAAACCCCTTTTTTAGGATTGTTATTGGATCTAATATCAAAACATAGTACGACATATTTCCTTCCAAAATCAGGTCGATACCCCGTATAGCGATTCACAATTGAATCGCGTTTTTTAGGATTGTTATTGGATCTAATAGCAAAACATAGTACGACATATTTCCTTCCAAAATCAGGTCACTCCTATCATCAGCGGATTTAACGCAAAATTTATTTACCCCCCACATAGTATCTTCGTTTTATTTAACAAATGGCATGTCAAATGTATAATGAGAAATAACAAGGAATAGGTGCCTTCGGAACGGAAGTCTATGTCTATTTAAAATTCTTTGCAACTACACACCTGTTTTAAGCTGAATGAAAAAAGAAAAAATGTAAATCCAGACAAAAAACGCAAAATTCTAATAACAAAACACTTGAACCTTTTCTTCGCCTTCTTCTGCTTCGACTTTTTGCAATTCTAATACTCGTAGAATTTTATTCTTACTTGGCAAATTGTTGTAGTCTGCATGTCGCCCTGTCCCTGCTTGCTGATGGCTTTTCTTTGGAAACCGCCAAACGAGTGAGATAATAAATGACTTCCCTAAGTAATTTTTCACCAGTGATTTACATAAATGTCTAAGAACATAACCTCATATAACAACACCTGTTGTTATGGCCAGAGGGAGAATGAGAAAGCTGAGGGCTATTAAAATGCAAAAAGAAAAGTGGGGAGAGGAAAATGAGATTTAGAAAAACAGCATGGTAAAATACATTATTTGTCAAATAATTTGCCGGGAATGATCTCATAAATCTCAAGGTGATGTTTTTTAAATATAAAATGTTGAGAGAAATACATTTAGATATCAAACCACAATTTTTGTTCTCTGCCATTTTTTATCACCAAAATTTGGAAACTCTATTTTCCAGTTATATTGAATACAAAAATGCAAGTAATGCAATTTATATCACCAAAATTTTGAAACTCTAATTTTATGTTTTATTAGGATTATTTTCTCCAAAGATCCCGGAAAGCCCATTATCGCAATTTTTATCACCAACACTTTGAAACTCTAATTTCTAGTTATATTAAGTGCAAACATTTCTGTAGTGTCAGTATACAAAATTATTTATATTGAGACTCTAATTTTATGTTCTATTAGGATTATATCTTCCAAAGATCCCTGAAAGCCCACTATCACAACTTTATCACCAAAATTTTGAAACTCTAATTTTTGTGTATGCGAAGACTGTTATTCAGGATTCCAGTAAAGATCTTGGAACTCTAAGTTATTTATATCACCAAAATTTGGAAACTTTAACTTTTCGTGTTCGAAGATTCATAATAACTCTTATTTCCAGTTATATATAAGATGTTATCTCTTCCAAAGATTCTAGTAAAGGTCCAGTCTTCAAAATTATTTATATCACCAAAATTTTTAAACTCTAATTTTATGTTCTATTAAAAGGCATTGTTGTTTATCACAAAAATTTAGAAACTCTAATTTTTCCATACACGAAGATGACTGCTATTCCAGTTAAGACCTTTGCACACTAATCTGCAAATATAAAAATAAAGCAATTATCGCAAATATGTAAAATAGTTTAGATTTCACCTGTCTTAATTTCCTTTAGCAATCCAGGAGATAAACTTCTGATCTTCATCCAGCTCCTCCTCCCCATCCTTCTATTCTACAACTATCCTATTAAGATATTCAAGTTTCGTTGCCGGTGTTGATGATGATGACGATCATGATCTGTACATATTCAAGCTCTAAATTTAGATTCCAACTTCTAACAAATTGTCCATTACTTAGACACTTGGTTTTTATTCAAGAACCAGAAGACATACATACATGCAAACATAGATTGCTATCCATAGATTGTGTCAAGGCAAAAAAGGAAGCCAGCGAACGAACACAGACGACGCCAGACATTGAAACGTTGTTATGGCATTTGCAAACACCATCTACCCGGTTTTAGCCAGGAGGAGAAAATTATTTTTGTTAAAGCCGGCTGCTGATGCTTCTACTACTGCTGCTGCTGTTGTTATTGTTGACATGAAAAGTGATAATTTACATTTGGTTTGAGACAGTGAATGGTGGTGTATCATCATAGAATGGACAGGACAATAAATTATAGTAATTCTTAAGGAATTAAAATTGTCTTTTGTTTGCCTTAAGATTATAACAAAAAAAAGAAAACTTAATTAAATTATTTTTTTTTTCTCTTTTTATCTTTCCAGCTCCCCTGCAAGATTATACGGAAATTCAACAATACACAGGTAAGAATGCTTTGGACTAAAAAAATGAAAAATTAGTATTAAGCAAGCAAGTTTTTCGTATAATTACACCAGGTTCAATGTTCTAAACAACAACAAAATTTCAATTAGCCGTTTAGCTTTAACTGCAACAACATTCTCTCGGTATGGGTATGATTACCGGAAATTTATGATGAATGCCTCCTGCATCATCATCATCTGGCCATAGTAGTTATAATGATCGCAGCCATGTACAGTTTCCATTTTATAGCTCAAAAATATAACATGTGTTCATGTTGGTCATGTTTAGAGAGTTTGGCCGATCCGTGTAATGTTAGTAAACTACAAAAAAATTGTTGTAGGATTATTTTTTTTAATACTTCTTTCTACTTTTTTTTTTGAAAACATTACATCACGCTTGTGCTTATGCAAATTACATAGATTTTAAACTATTGCAGATGACCGTTATTTTTTGCTTGAATAATTATAGAGCGTTGAAAAAAAACACCGATCATCATGTATTTTTTATTACAAAGTTTGCATGCCGACTATAAATGTTTAATATTAGTTTGGAAGATTATTTTTTAGGAGAGCGAGCATATTAAATATGATATTTATTTGTAGGATATGTGAGGAAGAGAAATGAAATCAAAACTGGTCTAAATTTCAAGGATCTTTCATATTTTCCAAATGTAAAAGAAGGAAAAGATAGGAGTTTACGTGAAAAGAAGTTAATTTACTCTTGACTATTTATATGATTCCAAGAAGCATTAATTGTTTCAAACCCTTGTTTGTACCAAATTATTTTTATCACCAAAATCTTGAAACTCAAATTTTCATTATATGATGTACATATATTTTGTTTATCATTCACCAAAATTTGGAAACTCTAATTTGGAAATTGTATTAAGAGTATATCCTCCAATGATCCCTGAAAGGGCAGTATTTTTTATCACCAAAATGTTGAAACTCTAATTTTATATAGAATACTGTTGTATTAGATTCCCTATTTCAGTTATATTATGTATATTATTTAAATATTTATCATTTAATTATTTATATCACCAACATTTTGAAACTCTAATTTCGAAGTTATATTAAGTTTATATCCTTCAACGATCCCTAAAAGGACATTATTTCTTATCACCAACATTTTGAAACTCTAATTTTATATATAAGACTGTAATTATATTTTGTATATTATTTCATTATTTATATCACCAACATTTTGAAACTCTAATTTCCAAGATATATTGAGATTATATCCTCCAAAGATCTCTGAAAGAGCATTATTCTAAAACTGTTGAGTTCATCAATTATGTTTTTTTTCTTTATAAAAAAAGTATCTCTCAGAATATTAAATCCTCATTAAATCATTCCGCTGAACTCATTAGAATCAAATTAGACATGATAGATATGAAAGGTAATTTAACAAAAGTGTGGGAATTTTTCAGTTCGCATTTCAAATCTGATTTGAAAAACCAATAAAAATAAAAATGAATATTAAGTGCATTAGAAAAAAACAAAGCATCTTCCGTCAATACTCAATATTATTATTTAAAGACCAACAAAATTACCTTGAACTTCAATTTTTGTGCAAATATTATGTATTTTTTGTACGAAAAATACTCCAGCTGGCACACAAAGCAAAAGGCGAGCCAAGAAAAACAAGTCTATGATGTGGTTTTCAATTCCTCTACTCCTCAATTAAAATATATGTATACATCCCACAAATAAAACCAACCACTTGAATGAAATAAAACTTTGACCACACAGAGAGCAAACAGAAAAAAACATTTTGTCTGGACTGATATGGTTTGCTTTAATGTCCATCTTCCTTTTTTGCCAGACCGTACCGGGGCATGTCTGGCCAACCAGCCAGAAAAAAAGTAATTCACATCAAACACACACAAAAAATGATGAGGTAGGTGCTAAACGAACAATTAAATGTTAAATACATTAAACAAAAACACGTTTCCGCATTGAAACACACACAAAACAGAAAAAATATACATTTATCAGAAATTCGCAAAACTCTCTGGTATGCCAAACAGTAGCACTACCTCAACCTCTTCCATTCGCAGCACCCTCCTGCACAAAACAAAATCATTTGATGTCATAATACAATAAAAATTATATTAATGAAACACAACAACAACAGAAAAATAACAATACAATGTGCAAATGGGAGATTTATGAGGTAGTCCCCATAGTATCAAATAGCTGAATACAGATGTGATAAGAAAAATAGCAAACGTTTTTTTGCTGCGATGTTTTTGAGTACAGACAATCGTTTATTATATATTTCGATCTAACGTCACCATTTTTGTATTTCATCATGGATGTAATTTTTTTAGTCATATATGAATTGATTTAATATCCTTCGAAAAGAGTTCCAAAACAAAAATAGTAAATTTAATCATTTAAAAGAAATTTTACAGAATTGTGGGAGTTCCATCAGTATTTCATAAAATGTTCGTATATGCAAAATTAAAGTTTCCAAATGTTGGTAATAAAAATAATGCCGTTTCAAAAAGACAATAAATAGTAAATTTAAGCATGCTTTCTTTGGGAGAAACTGTACAAAATTGTATGAGATCCATCAGTATTTTATTAAATATTCGTATATAAAAAATTAGAGTTTCCAAATTTTGGTGATAAAAATTAAAGAGAGTGTATTTTTATAAAATAATGTAGTTTGCCATGTTCATTCGTTTGCTATTTTATCCAACAAAACTGTGAAATCTGTTTCAAAAATGAATGAATGAAACAAAAACCTGAAGCATACATATATAAATATTAATACAACACCTCATAAATTATATAGTTCACTTGGTAGCACACAATCACATGTGACGCGCCACTCTGTCTGCCAATATCTTAGTTGTGTCTTATTTTATCTCTGATTCGCTATAAAGAGGACAAAAACGTGATCAGACGAGTTTGATTAATTGATCGATAGCATTTGTATTCGCTCCGATTTTTTTGTTTCCTTCATTTATACGTTTGACACAATTTCTTGTCAAGAACAAAACGCATGAAAATAAAAATGGTCAGGAGAAGATAGCATTTTTTTGCTACGCATCTATTCCATATCTGCAATCAGAGGTACTCTGCGTTCTTCAGTCGTACTTGTTGTCGTTCACGTTTCCGACATTAACAATAATTTTATAGTTTTAACGTCTGGTATTGCAGGTATGCGCAGCAAAGACTAGACTTATACGCGTGCCTGCCTTCCTAGATATATTGTCTGTTAAGCCTACAATTAAAGACTTGTTGTGTTTTGCCCCTTAGCCATACCTCCCATTGTCGTCCACAGCCGTATATTGCAAATAATCTGTCTGACTGCCTGCCTTGTTTAAATGGCCTATTATTCATTTTGGTATAGTCTATGTTTAGGGCCTCACGCATCGCTCAATGCTCGTACCTCCTTATTATTATTATTAACGAGTGGATAACAACAACAAAAACTATAATCAGTTTTTTGTCACTTCCATTCCTAAAGCTGTTAAATGACCGATTATATTTCATGTTGCCTGATTAAATACTAGCCAAATTAATGTGGCATTAAATCACTTAAATTATTTGTGCTGTGCTGTTAGTGTTGTCGTTGTGAGTGCCATTATGTGCGGATGTTTTGTGTCTGGGCTTGTTTTTCTGACTAATTTACTGTGTGAGCATTTAGAGACCTAAAACAGGTGATAATAATGATGAGGTAAAGTGGTTTGTATGGAATTTAAATAAATAAATTTGGAAGATAAAAACGATTCACACATGATTTATAAAATTTGAATATTTTATTTGACAAATAATAAAACATTATTCGAATTGTATATAAAGGGTTTCACAGAAACTTTAATGAATGTAAACCCAGCCTTAGGATTTAAATCCCGTTACTAATGAAATGCAACACTGGATTTTGTATTGTATGTCAACAATAATCAGCTGAATAGGATTTACATCATCGCATGCGTCGTACAATAAATTGGTACTCCATTTAGCACAGCTGACTATACGATTAACTGTCAAAATGCATAGTTTCTACCATGGCATAATAATTGGGAAGTCCATCTAGCGCAACTGATGACTCGATTAACTGTCAAAGTGCGTAATTTCCACTTGAATTCTATGAGCAATGTTGCCAACCATGTGAAATATTATAAGGAAAAATTTGACAGATGGTCGAGACAAAAACAAAGGTTTTTATTTCGATACATCACCTTAAACAACATATACTTACTTTTTAAAAGGTTAACCTACTTTATGAGGATTTATTTGACACATATGCAAGAGAATTGACAATTGGAACCCACTGGGTTAACGAAATCCGGTTAAATGTAAACAGACAGATGGTCGATCAACAAACACTTGTTTTTATTTTGATACATCACCTTACTATTGTATCATTATCTCATTTAATGTCTAAACGGTTTAAGGAGGTTTATATTTACGAAATCAGTTTAAAATGTCAATTTCATAGCGTAAACGTCAAATAAAATCCATTGTGTATATATGACAACAATCAGCTGACTGACATATAGATCATCTCGAGTCGATTATAAAATCGATAGAAATAATGACAGGGAAGGATCTTGGAGACACATGACACCAAGCTTCTTCCAGGATTTATAAACCAAGAAAATCTAATATTAAAAAAATCATTTCTCTGCAAACTACTGTTCTTCCAATTCTACCTGATCCAACAAACATAGCCTCCAGTAGCGCATGCTGGCTCACTGCTGTATCAGCGATTGTAATACGTAGAATGTTTTTTTTTTCTAGATTAACTTACTAATGTATTCTCTAGATGTTCATAATTTTTTATTATTGTTATTATGGCGAGAACAAAAAAATAAACGAAAAAAATACACAACGTTTACACAAAACATAATGTCTTTATGTATGACCGCAGCGAGCAAAACTCATTCCTAGACCCTGTTGAAGTCTCTTGTGACAGAGATACCAGACAAATGCTTCTGTGTTCAGCTCAACGCAACACGTTCAACTGAAAATTATCCATTATCTGTAATTATTGGACAATTTGACACTTTTACACAAAAAAAATAACAACAAAACTATATTGATAAAAATGTTTGCAATATTTGTTATAGCCTAGACAGACGATAGCCTTAATTTGCATTAACAGCCTTAATTCAAATTAACTTGTACATTATCCTCATTTTTATGTTTTGTTAATGCACAAAATCAAACTGAATTTATACTGAATTAGGCAATTTCAATATGGCAATGCTGTCGAAAATTAATTGTTTCTTGTCAAATTTATTTATATTTATGAAAATAAAAATATGAAATGAAGGCAAATTTCAACCGTTTCTTAAATTGGGGGCTGTTTAGCTATGATCATAGTTGCTATTCCTCCATTATGTCATGTATCTATTTCCTAAAGATGTAATCCCGAAAAATATCGAAACAAATGTAAAAAAAATTCATCCTACACACAGACAAACAATTGTTTTGAAGCAAAAAACTGTTTCGTAAATGCAGAAACTAGGGGTAAATATTAATTCAAATTAAGAAATTTTTAATGCAAATTAAGGCTGCCGTCTGTCTATGGTATTAAACGATTATTTTTTGTGCGATGTTCTCTGGGAATAGAACATTTATGAAACATAAAAAAGTAACTAGGAAATAATTCATAAAATAATGAGTTTATTATTATTTTAGATTAAGCTATAAAGTTGTCATTTAAAATATTAATAATTTGATTTTAAAATTGGAAGGTCAATAGAATAGATATCACAGATGATTTTTTCGTAACAATATGTCATTGAAATAAATATGGGATTTTCATAAAACAAAAAATTAATTGTCATATCTTTGTAAACCTGTCCAAAAAAATACAATTTCCGTAAAAGTGGGTACAAATTGTCAATTCTGTTGCGTATATGTCAAAAAAATCCTCATAATGTAGGTTAACCCGGTAAAAAGTTCTAATCATGGTACAATAAAAATGTAGAGCAGCTGATGACTCGATTAACTGTCAGAGTGCGTAATTTTTACTTGAATTCGATGTGCAATGTTGCCAACCATATGAAATATTATAAGGACAATTTTGACAGATGGTCTAGACAAAAAAGAAAGGTTTTTCTTTTGATACATCACCTTTTTATTGCATCATGATACATGCCATTTAAATGTATCACAAATGTAGGGATCTATAACACCGCATTAGTAATCGATAAATCTAATCAGCTGTCAAAATTAATAACGATGGTAATGCCAAACAAACTAGGCGCCTTGTTGATGACAATGTCACGCACTTTATCTGTACTTATAATAAAGGTCTACATTTTTGTACAATAAAAAACCCCGATCTTCTTTCAAGGTAAATCTCATGTAATATATTTTTTTAAATTTACATATTTATGTGCATAATACAATGCCGTCTGCTGTGTGCTCTTTTCATAACAAATTAAGGTTAAATGTGTGATGAGAGAGCCTATAATAAGAACAAATGTTAAAACTGGAACATATGTATGTCTCCCCATTATAATAAAAAAAACATTACATCTTTTATAAAAAAGGCCTTATACCATTACACACACAGATATATTTATAGTAACTTACATTATGTAAGTAGGTTTACATGTACTCGTACAATATGCCAAGAAGTAATGATATGTCTGAACTCCAACAAACTTAACCTTTGCATGATATGAGCCATGAAGATGCGATGGAACTTTAAATATACTATTGTTGTATTATTAATTTTTTTTCAAAATAGATTACAACATTTGCGTTAGTATTAATTATAAATAATGCATAACTTGTGTTCGGAGAATGAAAACTTATAATAAAAATACAATGTATAAATAAATCAGATGACGTATAAATTAGAGTGTACAAAATGTTAGTAGATTTTGTCGGTTAGATAAATATGAAATTTAAGGGAAACAGGTTTAAACGGCATCAATATTGGAACTTTTGATCGGCTTAACCTCCTCCGTGGAGATTTATTTGGCATTTATGCAATGATATTGACAATTTAAATCTACTGGATTTACTAAATCTAGTACAGTGCAAGAGTGCTATGATTTAAAGATATTCAAATAAAATTCATGCAGGAAATTAAATTACAAAAAAAAAATATAAAAATATTTGTGTTAAATTTATGAAGCGTTTGCACCATACCATGTAAATCAGCCAATAAACCCTCAGTGCGGTTAGATTTACAAAATCTACTCGATCTCAAATGTCAATTCCATAGCATATACGTCAAATATAATCCACTGGTTTTGTGAAAAGAATTTAGGTATATGTCACCTTAATTCTATGGAATTGACATTTGAAATCCAAGTACGCTTTTACATTATCATTATTGTTTACATGTACATAAAAAAATATTGTCATAACCTTTTTATGTATGTCAAATTTATGATGATTTCCGTAAAATACTCAAACTTATTGTGTGTACTCTCCTATAAAAACTAGCATTTCCTGTCCATGATACAATATATAGGTAGTCCATTTAGGGAAGCTGGTGACTCGATTAACTGTCAAAGTGCGTAATTTTTACTCGAATTCGATGTGCAATGTTGTCATCCATTTGAAATAATATAAGGAAAAATTTTATAGATGACCAAGACAAAAACAAGAGTTTTATCATCACCTCATTATTGCATAATGGTACTCTGCTTCAAAAGCTTGCACATCCTGTCCATGGCAAAATAAGTAGTCCATTTAGCGCAGCTGACCATTCGATTAACTGTCAAAGTGCATAGTTGCCAACCAAGTAAAATATTACTGATAAAATTTGACAGATGGTCGGATAAAAAAAGGTTTTTGTTTTGATAAATCACCTTATTATTGCATCATGGCACAATGAATAGGTAGTCCATTTAGCGCAGCTGATGTCTCGATTAACTGTCAAAGTGGGTAATTTCTACTCGAATTCGATGTGCAGTGTGGCCAACCATTTGCAATATTATATTATATTATATTATATTATATTTGACAGATAATCGAGACAAAAACAAATGTTTTTGTTTTGATACATCACCTTATTATTGCATCATGATCCTCTCATAAAAAGGGATCTGTAGTTCGATGTTTGAGTTATTGCATTTCCGCCAATACAATTATGTGTGTTGATATACCATACACAAAATATGTCATATTTTATTTCGATTCATTTTGAAACATGATTGAAATCACAGAGCTCTTGAAATGCAACACTAGTTTTATAGAAAAAATCTATATTTTTTGAATAGATTAGCAACAGTTGCAGATGGGGATAAATTTATGAGCTGCCTGACATTTACGAAATTTATCGAATTGAAATAACAATGCTATGGTTTTGAAGAATGAAGGATATATTTTTGAAGAGTACGATGATCGAAATCACAGAAATCTTGAAATGCAACACTGTTCTAGTACGAAAAAGTTGCAGATGGGGATAAATTTGTCAGCTGGCTGACATTTACAATTATTTACTAACGTTTACATCATTTCAGGATTTCGTTAAACGAACTATTGAAATGCAGCACTGAATTTGTACGATACAGTACAGCATCTGCTAGTGGTTACATCAGCTGGCTGACATTTACAATTATCACATTTGATCGAGTCGATTTATAATCGTATATGTAAATAAATGCTTAAAAACCCATCTCATAGAGTTTATTTGCAGTATGCTCCAGAACCTGAAAGAATCCTTTATTAATCAAAATTGTTTTTGATTTTCCATTTCAAAATTGAAATAGGGATTTATAAATCGATAATTCACTTGTCGTATTTTCCCGCGTAAAACTCTTTTCTTACAAATGTACTTGCTGAAGCAATGACATTTTATGTATTTTATATAAAACGATTAATTTTTTTATTAGGACATGGAGTTTAATGATAAAAGTATTGTGTATTTGAGATTAGGCTAAATTAGATTAGTTTAAGTGGTTCTTAAGGAAAAATGTTTTAAAATAAAATCAGAATTTAAATAGCAACCAAAGGGAAAATTTGGTCCAGGTGTTAATATATTCCAAATCAGATTTCTTATTTTCCAAATCAGCCTTCTTACAAAGGAATTTCCATTACATTCCCCAATTGAGTAAAGGCTTTAACGGAATCTATGGCATCATGGTTCGCTCCTTAAAAACATTTTTGAAATTTGCTCCTTTTTTCCCTGCAAACGAAACCTATTTCTGTTTTTCCTCCTTCTTTCTTAGAAACGAAATCACAAATCCAAGTAGCCCTAACCTCAAATAAAAAAATTAAATTTTTCATAATAAAATAGTAGGCAAAACAAATATTTCAAACTAATATTTGTTGAATGATGGCTAGTTATGATAGTTGTTGAGTTGAGGTTGGTGGCAACACAAGTAAATCTTTTACTCTCTACTCTCCAAAGCCATAGAATTTCTATTAGCATTATTATGTTGTTGTGGCTGTTATTTGCAACGATCTGTTGGCTATTGCACAATAATTCTTAACCAAAGAGACCAATCAAACCAACAACCCGTCCAATTTTAGTATTGAGCCAAGACAGTAAGGCCACTTAGTTGCAACCTAGAGGCTATAAAACAATTTACATAACCACAATCATGACCATGTACGCTCGGCTCCTGCTCCCAAAACTATAGCAACATACATACGTACATAGAATATTTTGAAAGCAGGCAAAAAAAATGCTAACGAACCATCCGAACATCTAATAAGATTGTTAAGCTCCTTAGACAGCCAATCGAGCCTGGCTGACTGACTGACGACGGTCATCATATAGAGAGACGATGGTTGTTGCATCTTACTCCTTTTGGTGTTAGCTTTCTTTCTGCATATATATGTACATACATTTCTTTAGCAATTTGGTTTCTAAATTCTAATTTTGTTGTTTTTTTGTTTCTCTTTGCAGAAGGCTGCTACTACAACTATAATCATTACAATGAAGGCGATAGAATCATGACAAATGAGCCCTGTTTGAATTGTACGTGCCACAATAAGATGCTCATGTGCTATTTGCGTGTATGTCCGTTCACGAAGCCCATTGGACATGATTGCATAGTGGAGAAACGTGAGGATCAATGCTGTCCAATCATTACATGTCCCGAAGGTAAGTCCACTTATCTATGCAAAAAATCCATGCAATCCATCCGAACCACCATCCATCCCATTCGAATAGCCAGCAAAATTGCTTTATTTTCTCGTTGTCTCGAGAATTGTCAATGATTATGGTTACGATAATGATGATAATTTTCCTCCTTCTATGTCCAGTTCCCGTAGGTATTTCTCATGCTGCTCCTGAACCAGGCACTGAATTGAGCATACCAGAGAAATTCGGCTGCAGTATTGATGGCAAATTCTATTTGGAAGGTGCCCAGGTTCCCTCGAATCCCAATAAACCTTGTGAACTCTGCTATTGTATTAAGAATCGTACCTCATGTCTGATGCAAGAATGTACCCTGCACATCGATGGCTGTACTCCAATTTACAACAAGGGCTCTTGCTGTCCAGTGCGTTATAATTGCGGTAAGTGAAACAAATCTCATTATGGACCCCAGTGTGATGCATGATTGATAATGTCTGGCCTACTTTTTGTTTTTTTTCAATTCTTTTGACAGACCATGAAAACGATATTCTTGGCTTGGAAGATCTATCGTCGACCACAGAGGCCAGCACCACCACTACTACGACTACCACCACCACAACTGAACGTCCCACAACTGGCTTTATCCTTACCAGCACCATGTCACCCAGTGTCTCGACCGACTGTATCCACAATGGAGAATTGTATGCTGATGGTGCTCGTATCGAAGGCAAGAATCCATGTGAAAACTGCTATTGTATGCGTGGTGACATTATCTGTGCTGTCCAAGAATGTAAGATGCCCATGTTGGCTGGCAATGGAAAACAATGTCATGCCATGCCGCCACATGAAGGCGAATGCTGTCCCAGCGAATATGTGTGTGAAGATGATACAGCCACCACTGAAATTTATGAAGCCACAACCGCTCTACCCGGCAAAGATGAAGATGAAACCAAGGTTACAACATCTGCTCCCGTTGAAGATCTCCATGGTGCCATACCCGAGGAAGATATGCTCTTGCAGACACACATCGAAGAAGAATCACAACAAGGTGTTACCGTATCACCAATGGATAAAGTTAAGGCCACAGAGGAACCTGTCTCCGCTGAAAAGGATGAAGAAGAAGGAGAACAAGAATTATCTGCCACAACCATCAAACCTGTTAGCGAAGATAAAGAAGACCAGACTACCGAAGCTATCTCAGCTCAAGAAGCTACCACGGCTGATGTTACAGAAGAACAGGAAGAGGATACCGACAAGGAAGCTAAACCCGTTCCCGCCGATGAATATGTTACCGAAAGTGCCACCACATCTGCCCAAGAAGGAGCAGAAGATGAAATTGAAACAAGTACCAAGGCCACAATTGAACAAGAAATATCCACTGAAGGTGAACTCACAACCAAGGCTACCGAAGAAGAAGGACAAGACATTGGCTCAGCTACTGAATCTGCTATGGATACTTTGGCTACTGGCAAACCTACCGAAGAAGAATCCTCCGTATCTACTGAAGCTGATGAAGAACTTATCACTAAGGCTCCTGTAGAAGAAGAACAAGCTGCTGTTTCCACAGAAACATCGGGCGCTGCTGATGAACTTCCAACTGTTACTGCTTCCAGCGAAGAAGAACAATCTGAAGTATCTACTGAGACTGCTGATGTCACTACGGCTGCAGCTGAAGAGGAAGAAGAAACCGATGCTGATGTCACTAAAGCTCCAGTTGCCGAAGAAGGTGAAGCTATCGAAGAACTTTCAACTAAGGCTCCAGTTGCCGAAGAAGAATCCAGCGAATCTACTGAAACTGTTGATGAACTCGCCACCAAAGCTCCTGTCGCCGTTGAAGAAGAAGGAGAAAAGGAAACCGTATCTGTTGATGAACTTACCACTGTTGCTCCTGCTGCTGATGAACACGCTGATGTCTCCACAGAATCCGTTGAAGAAGAATTGGCTACCAAGGCACCAGCAGGTGAAGAAGAAGCTGCCGAAATCTCCACTGAAATGGTTGATGAAGCTTCTACTAAAGCTCCCGAACATGATGTGGCTACTGAATTGGATGAAGAATCTGCAACCAAAGCTCCTACCGCTGAAGAAGGTGAACACGTTGATGAATTGGCCACCAAGGCTCCAGCCGCTGAAGAAGGTGAAACCGTTGATGAATTGGCCACCAAGGCTCCAGTCACTGAAGAAGGTGAAACCGTTGATGAATTGGCCACCAAGGCTCCAGTCAGTGAAGAAGGTGAAACCGTTGATGAATTGGCAACCAATGCTCCAGTCTCTGAAGAAGATGTATCCACTGAAACCACTGATGAATTGGCAACCAAGGCTCCAGTCGCTGAAGAAGATGAAACCGTCGATGAATTGTCTACCAAAGCTCCAGTCTCTGAAGAAGGCGAAACTGTTGATGAATTGGCAACCAAGGCTCCAGTCGCTGAAGAAGGTGAAACCGTCGATGAATTGGCAACCAAGGCTCCAGTCGCCGAAGAAGATGAAACTGTTGAGGAATTGGCAACCAAGGCTCCAGTTGCAGAAGAAGGTGAAACCGTCGATGAATTGGCAACCAAGGCTCCAGTCGCTGAAGAAGGTGTATCCACTGAAATCGCCGATGAATTGGCAACCAAGGCTCCAGTCGCTGAGGAAGAAACTGACGTATCTACTGAAACTGTTGATGAACTCTCTACTAAAGCTCCAGCTGCTGATGAACATGTGGAGGAAGGTGCTGAAGAAATCTCAACCAAGGCTCCCGTTGCTGAAGAGGAAAGTGATGCTGCTGCTGAAGAGGAAAGTAATGAACTTGCCACAAAAGCTCCTGTCGTTGAAGAAGGTGAAACCGTTGATGAATTGGCAACCAAGGCTCCAGTCACTGAAGAAGGTGAAACTGCTGATGAATTGGCAACCAAAGGTCCCGTTGCTGAAGATGCCGAAACTGTTGATGAGTTGGCAACCAAAGCTCCCGCTGCTGTGGAACCTGAAACCTTTGTTGATACTTTGGCCACTGAGACTCCTGCTGGCGAAGAACAACCTGAAACTGTCGAAGAATTGGCAACCAAGGCTCCAGCTACCGAAGAAGAAGCCACTCAAATGCCCACTGGAACCATGCCCACTGGCGCTGACCAATCTTCCGAATCTGTTGAGGAAATGGTTACCAAAACTCCCGAACACACCGCTGATGTTTCAACTGAATCTGCAGAAGAACCAATTGTCACTGATAGCGCTGCTGGTATTGTTGATGCCACCACCAAGGCTCCTGAAGAACAACCACAAGTACCAATAGAAATTGAAGGTGTTACCCATATTCCTATGGCCATGGACACTGAATCTCATGTAACTGAAACTGAAGAATCCACTGAAACTGCCAAGGATGAAGAGGAACAAGAAGAAGTTAAGGAGACTGAAGTTACAACTAAGGCTCCTTTGGCTGAGGAAGAACAAGAATCCGAAGACAAAGAAACTGTTACCGCTGCACCAGTGGCTCATGATGAACTTCCTGAAGAAGCTAAACCAGAAGAAGCCTCATCCGAAGTTTCAGAAGAAGAAAGCGAAGATCACACTAAAATGCCTGCCGTTGAAGAACCTCAGGCTGGAGAAGAACAAGACATCAAACCTAGCGAAGAAGAAGCTACCACCATTGCTTCAGCCATGGCTGATGAAACCTCAACCAAAGCACCCGAAGGAGAACAAGCTGATGTATCAACTGAAGAAGATAAGGAACAAGCCAGCACCGAATCTGCTGAATCCACTGATGAATTGGCCACTGAAATGCCTGCCGAACAAGAACCAGAAAAGGTTGCCACCGATGCTGCCACTCCAACCGTTGCCGCCGAAGACCAATCCATGGTTGAAAAGGACACTGAAGAAGCTTCTGGTGATAGCACACCAATTGCTCCCAGCACTATGGCTCCAACTTATATTCCTCCCGTCCAAACCGGAGAAGAAGCTTCCGAACCAGAAACTGTTCCTGCTGAGGAAATGGGCAGTGGCGATTTTGCTACTACCGAATCTGCTGAAACCGAAGAAGAAGAAGAAATGAAACCTGCCGTTACAGATCGTGTTTCAGAAGGAGAGGAAGCTGAAATTAGCACCGCTAAACCTGTTGAAGAACCAACTGAAGCCGGCCTTGAATCGGTTACCACACACAAGATTGATACCGATGCTGCTGTACCAAGTAGTGAAGAAGAAGGAGAGCACAAGGAACCATCAGAAACTGCTGTAGAACAACCTGAATCAGCAGAAGAAGCCACCACAATCAAATCTGAAGTTCCAACTGAAACTGCTACCGAAACAATGGCTGATGAGAAACCTGAACAAGTTGACATTGCCACTTTTGCATCTACCATCGAAAACGAAGGTGAGGAAGAAGCTCAACCAGAAATGGACAAGGAAACCGAAATTGTTGATGTCACTACTCAAGCTCCAGCTGTTGAAATGGCGCCCACAACTGCCGCTACTGATAAGGATTCATCTGAAGAAACCTCAAGTGAGGAAGATGAAACTAAAGCTGAAGAACCAACATCCACTGTTGTGCCTGCTGTCGAACCCGTTGAAGGTGAAGCACAAGAACCTCTTCCCGAAACTGATGAACACAAAGTTGAACGACTTCCTGAGGAAGAAATGGCTAAACCTACCGACAGTCCCATGGTTATTATTGAAGATTTCACTGGCCTGCCAGCCGTTGATGAAACCAAGACTGAAGCTGAACAAGGTGTTGCCGCAACCACTGTTGCTCCCATCTCCGAAGAAGGAGAAGACCAAGATAAGGAACTCGGTGTCAGTAGCACCATTAAACCTACCACTGAAGATGTATCCATTGAAGACATGCACGATATGCACATTCCATCTGTCATTCCTGGTGAAGGCGATTGCTTGGTTGGTCACAAGACCTATGCCAATAACTCCGTCATTCCCACAGCCGATGAATGTGAAATCTCCTGCAAGTGTGTCAGCAGTATTGTTACCTGCGAACGTGTTGTCTGCGAAACTCCAGAAAATGTTGAGAAATGTATTCTGGATGAGAGCAGCACCAACAAATGTTGTCCTACCTATATCTGTGACATTGAAAGCATTCCTGCCAAGGCCGAAGACAGCTCTACCGAAAAGGATGAAAGTTCCGCAGATGAACTCACCACCTCTACTACCTCTGCTCCTCATAAGACTGATGATGAAACCGCTACAATTGTTAGCATTCCTGAAATTGAAATGCCCGTGGGTAGCACTGAAGAACCCATGTCCCACATTAAGGATACCGAAGAGGAACAACACCATGTCGAAGTTGCAGAACAAACAACCAAGGCTCCACTTGATATTGCTGCCGATGACAAATCTGATGTTATGGTTGATAGTGAAGAGCCATCTACTCAATCGGCAATTGTTGAAGATATGGTTAAACCCGTATCCATGGTTCCAGTTGATGCTACTGAGGATGCTGTGAAACCCGTAGAAACCGAAATGCCTGTGGAAATTCAACCCGAAGAAGTTATGCCCACTGTTACCGATATGGAAATGGCACCAATTGTTCCCTCGACCGATGAATATCAAACCGTTAAACCAATTGAATCATCGGAGGAAGAGAAGGATGAAGACGAAGAACACACAATTCAACCCATCGTTAGTCTGGATGAACTCCCAAGCACAACTATTGCTGCAGAAGAGACCGATGTCCATGTACCATCCTCCACAGAGGCTGCTGTCGAACAAGAAGAAGAAGAACATAAGGATGTTTCTGGAGAAGCAGAAGAAGAACCTGAAATTGCCACTGTTGTACCAACTGTCACTGAAGATAAGGAAGTTGAGGATCAAACTGAAATTCCTGTTGTTGAAGGTGACAAAGAAGTCGATCAAGAAGGTTCTGGAGAAATTGAAACAGCTTCACCAACCACAACTGAAGAAGAAGAAGTTCATACCGTTGCTCCCGAATCAGCCGATAAGGAAATTGATATGTCTACTGAAATTCCTGTTGTCACTGATAAGGTATCCGAAGAACCAGCTGCCGTCACTCCCTCAACTGAAGCTGCTGAAGCAGTTGAGCCCTCAACAGCTGGAACAGTTGCTAAGGATGAAGAAGAACCTGAAAAGGAAACAATGGAAGAATCTGATGAAGAAGATCACACAACCGTTGCCTCACCCGCTGTTGATGAAGTCTCCTCCACCATGGCTCCCGTGGAAGTTGAACCTGAAGTACAAACTATGGCTAGCGATGTTGAAAGTGAGAAACCTTCTGAAGAAACTACTGGCCATGAAATTGAAGAAACTCCCGCCGTGTCCACTGTCGCTCCAATTGCTGAAGAAGCTCAGACCACAGTTGCATCAAGTGAAGAATCGTCTGAGGAATCCAGCTCCGTCTCAACTGAATCCGATGTTGGTGAATCTGATGTGCACACTGTTGCTCCTGTTGATGCTGAGACATCCGCTGAAACCGAAGAAGAAGCAGAAGAACAAACCACAGCTGTACCAGTCATTGAAGAGTCTTTGGGCACAACTGCCAGTGTTGATCATGTTGAAGATGATATGGTCAAGGAAACATCCACAGAAGCTGTCGCTTCTACCGCTGCTCCTGTAAGCGCTGAAGTACCACAAGAAACCGTTACCAGCACTGAGTCGCAAGAAGAGGAAGAAGAACATACCACTGGACCTATGATCGCTTCCGAAGAAACTACTTTGGCACCAGCCGAAGATCAAGAAGAAGACAAAGAAACTCAAACCGCTGCTGTTCCAACCATTGAACAAGATGAAGAACATGTTCCCGTCCATCGACGAAAGTGCTACTCAGCAACCAACCGAATTTGCCATTAAAGTCGATACCACATCTGAACATGCTACTGAAATTCCTACTGTGGATGAGGTTGAAACTAGTAAACCTGAAGAAGAAGGACAAGAAACTGTTGAAGAAACCATGCCATCGACAACTGTCAAATCTACTGAGGAGGAAGAACAAGTTGGCTCTGATGAAACCGAAGAAGAGGAACAATCCAGCACTGTGGCACCTACAACCGCTTCATCCGTTGAAGAAACCGACAAGGAAGAATCTAGTCCAATGGCTCCAACAACCGCTGAAGAACAAACCGAAGAAGCAACCACCACACCCACTGCTGAAGATGGTACCCACAAGGATACCACCGTTCCCTCATTGCCAGCAGGTGAAACTGATGAAACCACCATGGCTCCTATCTCTGCTGATGTTGAATCTGGTACTCCATCCGCCGATGAGGAAAAAGAACACACTGTGGCTCCTGCTACCTATGAAGAATCTGTTACCGAAATGATTGGAGCTGAAGAACCTTCTGAAAAGGATGAAGCCGTTTTAAGCACTATGGCTCCAGTCGAAGCTGAAGAAGAACCCGTCCAACATGTTACTTCCGTACCGACCCAACAACACAAAGAACCAACATTGGATCTGTCTGAAGAAGCTTCCGGTGAATCTGTGGAATCAGAAGAAGAAATCAAACCAACTCTTCCACAACATATTGGTGCCTTTGTTACAGAACGTGTTGAAGAAATTACAGGCAAACCAGTTGTACAACCCACAACCACCTCCAGCATTGATGAAGAAGGCGAAAAGGACACGTCATCAGAAGAACAAGAAGGCGAAATTGAAGGCGAGGCTACAGTTAAACCTGAAGTACCAAAGGTTGAACAAGACGAACAAGTTGAAATCACCGAAGCTACTCCCGCAGAAGATGTTGAAACCTCCACTGCTAAAATTCCTGAAGAAATTGATGTTACTGGTTCTACATCGGCTCCTAAACTTCCTGAAGAAGCTGAAGAAACATCAACATCCGCAGCAATGGACATTGAACCTGTTGAAGGTTCTACTGAAATTCCTGCTGTTGAAGATGTCACTGGATCCTCCACCACAATGCCAATTGAACAAGATATTCCTGCAGCTACTCAAGCTCCAGAATCCGTTGAAGGTATTGAAAGCACTTCTGATAAATTACCCGAAGAAGAAGATGAAGATCATGTTGTTGCTGCTACTGAATTGCCAGTTGCTGGTCCCGAAGAAGAAGCCATCACCGAATCTTCGGATATGGAAATTTCTGCTGATGTAACCAAAGCTCCTGATAGTGTTGAACATGATGATGTTTCTGGTATTGTCGGATCAACTGAAGAGGATGTGTCCAGTGCTACAATTGCCCCTGAAAGTCAAAGTGTTGAAGAATCTCAAGAAGATGTTGCTGTTCCTACCGAATCTGCTGTCGAAGGCGAAGAAGAAGTCACAAAGGCTCCCGCTATGGAACAACCTGAAGAGACCTCTGCTGAAGTTTCTGAATCTAGCACCGCTGTGCCCTCGGAAGATGTTGCTGGTCCAACTACTGCCACAAGTGCTGAACAACCTGCTGAAGAACTCGACACAGTTACTAAGGTTCCTGAACATGAAGAAGAATCCGAATCTGTTGAAGATATTGTACCAAGCACAGATATGCCTTCTGTATCTGGCGAAGAAGAACAAGATGCTGAAATCACAACAGCTCAACCAAGCCATGACCAAGCTGATGTTACCAAGGCTCCTGAATCGGATGTTACAGAAGGTGTTCCATCTGAAGAAACGGCCGATGTTACCAAATCTCCTGTATCCGCTGATGTTGCCACTGAACAAGAATCTGGAGAAGTATCAACCCAAGTACCCGAAACCTTTGCTGATGTTGAATCCGTTACATCTCAAGAATCCGAAGAAGATATGGCCGAAGTTACTAAAGCTCCTGAAGCCGAAGAAGTACCTAGCAAATTGCCTGAAATCACTGAGGATGTTGAAAGCTCTACTGCCCACGATGCTGCTGATGTTAGTGCTACCACAATGGTTCCATCTGTTTCCGAAGATGTTGAAGCCGTCACTGCTCAACAAGCTACTGAAGAAGCTGAAGTCGACACTGTTAAAACTCCCGAACAGGAAGAAGAAGAAGCTGAAGTTGTTACCAAACTTCCTGAATTGCCAGAAGCTGTGCCTCAAGATGTTACCACTCATGTCGCTGCTATGGATCATGTTACAGAATCTGCCACCGAAGCTGCAGAATCTGCTGAAGAATCCGAAGAACAAGTATCCACAGCTCCTGAATCTGTTGAAGGTGTTGAATCTGTAACTGCTCAGCCAGAAGAAGATGTCCATGCTGCTACCACCATTCCTGAAACTGTTTCGGAAACTGAAGAAGAAGCTGATGTTACCAAGGCTCCTGAAGATGCCGCAGTTACCAAAGCACCTGAAGATGTTTCTGCTACCAAGGCTCCTGAAGCTACTGATGCCGAAGTTACTATGGCCCCAGTTGCTGTCCCTGAACATCCTGAGGAAGAAGCAGTTACCAAGATTCCCGAAACTGCTGATGCTATTAGCGAAGACGCTACCAAGGAACCATCCGCCGAGGAAGAAACCGAAACCGCTGGACCCACTGTTACTGAAGCTGCAGAATCTGTTGAAGCTCATGGCGAAGATGTATCCCCTGCTACAATGGCACCTGAAACAGAATCCGAATCTACTGAATCACATGTCGATGAGGCATCTCCTGTTACCATGGTTCCTGAAACTGTAGCCGAATTGGAATCCATGCCACACAAGACTGAAGAGGATGTCACCAAGGCACCTGAAACAATTGAAACCACTAGCGCTCAAGATGTTGCTCCTGTCGAAGAATCTGAAGGTGAAGAAGATGAAGTTAAGGCCACCACACTCAGAACACCAATTCAACAAGCTGATGAATATGAAGAATCCGATGTTACAGAGGCTACCGAAGATAAGACTGAAGATAAGGTTAGCGAGGAAATGCCAGTTCATCACGAAGAAGTTACTGAATTACCCGCTGAAGCCTCCACAGTTGGCCAGGCCATTGAACAATCCTCGGAAGCTGTTTCCCAAGAAGAGGAAGAAAAGGACTCTTCTGAAGAATCGGCAGAAAGTGAAGAAGTGCAACGCACCACAACTGTTCACCCTCTGTTTGCCCATCATGGTATCACTACTACACTTCCACCACCACCAGCCATTGATAGTCGTCTGGATGAAGCTCAAAATGCCACACATGCTGATGAAACCACAATGGCTCCTGCTGCCGATGAATCTGCCTATACCACAACAGCCGCAACAACCACAACCAGCACAACAACACCTGCTCCCATTACCGTGCCAACACATCCCGCAGCCCACTATCCACCACCACCACCAATCTATGGACAAGCACCACAATATCCACCCCAATACGAAGATGAATATACCGACGAAGAAGACACAGAAATCTTTGGTCCTGGCACTTGCCGTTATGGTGGCAAACTTTACGTTTCCGCTCAACAAATACCACGCGACGATCCTTGCGATTTCTGTTTCTGCTTCCGCAGCGATATCATTTGTTTGCAACAATCTTGCCCACCACCAATTGCCGGTTGCCATGAAGAACCCATCTCTGGATTCTGTTGTCCACGTTACGAATGTCCCGTCTCGATGGCTACTGTACTCAATATCACGACAAGCACAACGACAACAAGTACCACATTGCCACCACATTTCCTACATCATTCGTATGGTAATAATGTACAGCGTAATGGTTGTCTCATCAATGGACGTTCATATAGTGTGGGTGAAAGAATCGAATCGACAAGTGGTCCATGCATTAACTGCACGTAAGTATACGCAAACATTTTTTGTATCGAAATGAGAACAACAACAAAATGAAGTGCTTGGGAAATTTGTTAGAAAAAAATGCGATCATTTCGATTGCCTGCACAGTCCTTTTGCTATTTGAAATGCAGTACATGGTCAATTGTGTACTGTATACACAAAAGAAATTTGAATGGTTCATTGGTGTTAGTCATATAAAGTGAACGCCTAGAAATATGCTACACTTTTTACATGGGAGGCTTGTGCCATGTCTCAATGAAATCAACCAGGGTTTTGTAAATCGACTTTTACCTATTTGATCAATTGAATTATTTTGCCAATGAAACGAGGGTTTCGCCCTGCTAATAGAAGTTTTAATCATCAACACGAAGATATGACAGTTAATTTATGAAAATTATAAAGCTACGTTCATATTGAAAGGATTTATGGTTATATTTAGGCAACAAAGACGCCATTCATTAGCAATTATATAAAATGTTTTTGCAAAATAGTCAGGCTGAATCCCAGTTTGTTGTTTTTATAAAAAAAAAATTATATAAAATGGGAACTCTAATTTGGTATTTAGATGCATTATCACAATAATTGACATATCCTGATCTGTTTGACATTTATGTTCATACACTGACTATTAAATACGGTTTTATTGGTAATTTAAATTTGTAGGAATATATTTAAAGTAGAAGACAATTAAATGACATATTTTCTTAAAATACTTCATACGTTTACATAGTTTTAATTGTTTATATATTACCAGGGATATGTAGGTCGACCAATATTTACATACAATAAAAAGGGCATTTACATTAGAACTTTTTATCGGATTAACCTACCTTATGAGGATTTATTTGACATATGAACAATGGAAATGACAATTTAAACCCACTGGGTTAACGAAATCCGGTACAATTTAAACGTACGTCAAATAACAATCAGGATCAATTTGAGATTAATGCTACGTTCACCTTGAAAGTGTTATACGGAAATCATCATTTATTTGACATTTATACAGCAAAAATGACAATTTAAATCACGATTAAAGTAGTATTCAATTATTATTTTTATTATTGACAGAAGTTAAAGATCTTGTGAATTTTTTTTTCATCCGATTATTTTATTTTTAAAATATTTGTTTATTAATAATACTAATCCATATATATTTCTCTCTCCCTTTTCCCCTTTTTTTATCCTCTCCTCCTTTCTCTCACAGATGCGGCGGTGATGGTAAAATGAAATGTGATCCTCAGGCCTGTGTTCCTGAACCAACTATGCAACAAGTGATGGCTGTTGTAGCGGCTGGTCGCAAAAGATGAACCCCTAGCCATGATAATTTAAACTAATTATATTAAAATTATTTTTTTATATAAAGAAAAACAAAAACACATTAAATTTAAGTAACAGTTACAAAAACAAAACAAGAAAAAACGGAAACCAACAAAAAAACCAGCAACTATATACTTTTCACAACTTATAAACTATAAAACTTTTAACACTAAATTCTATCCTACAAATTTCCCTAAATTCTCTATATATAGTCTAGCCACAAAACCGGATATAATTAAAAAATTGGTGCCAATATTGAATGATGATGGAAGCGGAATTTTCAAAGGAGAGATAAGTTAATTTTTTTTTAATTTTATTTTGATTTCCTTTTGAAAAGAAACTCTCCTTGTCATAAAAAAATTAAAAAAAATACAATACTTGAATTAGCTTGTGAAAAGCAACCAGTGATATTGTACTTTATACTTAGTATAGGTGCAATTAATTAAGTGAAAAGTAAACAAAAAAAAAACGAAACAAATACGCACACACATATTAAAAAACAAAACTTATAGCTGTCAGTTTAATGTAATTGATATTTATTGACAATATTAGGGTTATACCATAAAAACATAATCTTAATTATGTCAATAATAAATTTTACATTAACCTGACATCATTATTTAACCGCTTTATAACAATTTCTAATATATACTTTCCTTTATTTTGTAATTTAGGTTTAGAATCCCATTATCCCACTTGTAATATGGTTTTTTTTCGTGGCTATTTTTTGCCGAACCAAAAAAGTTTCTTTTAGTTAAAAAACATCATAAAACAATTCATTAGAGACTCTTAAACCGCTTAACTAAAATTTACTTTTTTTATCTACTGCAAAAAATAAAACCAATTGATAAAAGAATAGTATTACGACTGTTTAGGGGATTCTAAAAATTAAAAATTTTTTTATACTATTAAACCTAACCTAAAAACTGTATTTCCGGTTTTATATATATAAAAAAAACCTTTTGTATTTCAAACTATAATCTTTTTTTAACCTTTTTTATACTTTAGCTTTAAGTTCTATTCCAATTTTTTTATATATATTATAATATTAAAAGAATATATTTTATATATAATATTTTTTTAAATGCAAAATAAAACTGTTGCTTCTAGTCTTCTCTTTTTTATAAATAAAAATAAATAAAAAGAGCAACAACAATATTAATAATAACAAAAAAACAAATAGCCAAGCCCAAATTATTCAATCCAATTAGAAATGGAAGGGGATAATACAGATGTCATAGCACAAACATATGTAATTAGGGTTCTATAGATCGTTTTTTACACTGAATGGTTTATTTAACACATATTACAACCCTGACAGGTATAGAATCTGTATTACCTTTTCCGCTTAAATTACACCCCGAACAAACCACAACAATTTCAATTCGGACATCTAAAATTCCAACTAGAGATTTATATTGAATGTAAACTCTCAATTAAACCCCAATAGATATAAATAGTAGTGTTTTTTATAAACGAAAACGTAACGTAACAATTTTTTTTTATAATGAATGAAACAATTTTTAAAAAATTTTAAACTAGACGTATCAATAGCTGGATAAGAAAGAGATTTGTATAAGTGTTAGGTGTAAACGTAGTAGTTTTGATAAGCTAGTTAACTAAACTGAAATCCTAACCTCAAATGCAATCTCCCCAATTGTCCCCGAAATCCGAAAGAAAAAAATGAATAAAAAAAAACAAAAAGAAAATAAGGAAACTTAGAAAACAAAGAAAACTCAATTTTTTATACAAAAGAAAACTTAAAACTAATGCTCGACTGATTGAAAAAAGCAAGTACTTTATATAGAAATGAAAGAAAAAAATAGAATAGTATTAAAGTAAAGTAAATAAAAAAACTAATAAATGTAAGAAAATTTTATAAATGTAGAAAAGAAAAAAACAAATATTTTATTTTTTATAAATGAGATTATGCAATGCAACGGATTTCATGGGACACACTCCTCTGAAGTTCAATTGCCAAACATAATCTGTTATCGATAGAGCTTATTTTTCAAGAAACAAAAAAGAAAAACAATTCCTTTATTTTAATAATTTTTTTCATTTTCAATCACTTGAGCTTAAGTTAGCATCATATATTTTTAATTTTCTTTCTTTTCTTTGATTTCCATTCAAACTAGCCTTTTGCAACGTATTTAGCTTATTAAGAACTTTCCTTTATACTTTTTTTCATTAGATTATTAGTATTTTTTTATATACCAATTTTTTACACACACATATATATAAATATATTTATTATTTTATTTCCCTATGCCCAAAACTAGCCCATTTTTAAACAGCTCTTGTTTATTTTATACTATCCTCCCGACCCTCCCCTATAAACGCTATTAGTATTCTATTTAATTAAAAAACACACAACAAAAAAATTAATGGAACACCAACAACTTGTGTCTCGTATAAACTGCTTTTATAAACGAAAAAAAAATAAATAAAATTATTATTAATTATATTTTGTATTGCCTGCAATTGTAGATATTAATTAATTATGTGCGAATATTATTAAAATAAAACAAAACAGAAAATTATTTGAACAAAAAAAAAAATAAAACAAAAGAAAACCCAAGACGCCACCATGTATATGTAGCGTTTTTTAATTAGTTATAACAAAAGAACCACTAAAAAAGTAATTTTAATAATAATAAAAAAATAAATTGTATTTTAATTTTTTTTATATATAAACATTCTGTTTAAAACGAAAAAGCGATAATAAAAAATTATGAAAAAAATCGATTTGTATTTTTATTTAAATGTTAGGGTTTTATTTAATGATTTATTGTTGAAAAATTATGAATTACTCAATAAACTTTAATAAGATAGCCTATATATGGAATCTGGCTTAAAGAGAGTTAACAATTTCACAGTAGATCTCAAATGTCAATGCGCTATGGAATTGACATTTGAAATCGAGTGGATTTAGACTTAAAGTACATTTACATATACGATTTTAAATCGACTCGATTAACGAAATCCAGAAATACAACCTAATTGTTTACACATACCATTAATTGTGATCTAAATACGGATCAGCTGATGTTTGTTAGTATACATACAAAATTATAAATTTGCTGCAAAAAATTTGTTTGCAATTTGAACATGAAACGAAGAATTACAACAATGGAAATGTTTTTTGCAATGCTGTGATCGTTTGGATATTATAAAAAACAATGAAAAACACAAAATTTCTATAAGTAATTTTTTTTTTATTTGATAACCGTTAAATTTAAAAACAAACAACATGTGAAAACAGTTGCAAATTTTGGTACATTGTGAGAGAGTTGTATTTTTTAGCACAAAAACCGCGTTGCATCTCAGTAGTATCATGATTTCGATCATGATTTAAAATAAACCATGCCGTACGATGATTTAATTTTGTATGGTAAATCATGGTAAATTTAGCCTGATTAAGAAAATAAACCCTGATTCGTCCTTTAATCATGATCAAATGTTATATGTAAATCCGCTTTTAAAGTACATTTACATATACGATTTTAAATCGACTCGATTAACGAAATCCAGAAATACACACTAATTGTTTACACATACCCTTAATCATGATATAAATGCCGATCAGCTGATGTTTGTTAGTATACATACAAAATTATTAATTTGCGCCAAAAATATTTGTTTGCAATTTGAAAAAGAATAGAAGAATTACCACAATGGAAATGTTTTTGCAATACTGTGATCGTTTGGAAATTAAAAAAAACAATAAAAACACAACAATTCTATAATTAATTTTTATTTTCCTTTGATCTGTCATTTTTGTATTTGTCACCGTTAAATTTAAAAACAAACAACATGTGAAAACAGTTGCAAATTTTGGTACATTGTGAGAGAGTTGTGTTTCTTCGCACAAAACCCGCGTTGCATCTCAGTAGTATCATGATTTCGATCATGATTTAAAATAAATCCTGCTGCACGATGATTTCAATTTGTGTGGTAAATCATGGTAAATTTAGCCTGATTAAGAAAATAAACCCTGATTCAGCCTTTAATCATGATTAAATGTTATATGTAAATCCGCTTTTACTCTCTTAAGTTGTATGTTAAAAGCACGTTTATACTATACCTCGCCTCTATTTCTAAATTTTGAACTTAACCCTTGCTTTTTAAACTACGTTTAGATTTAGAGTGCATCGTGACAACTACAAGGTATATTGATAAAGTCATACAGTTAGCCTAGCTGGATATCAGCTACCACTCAAGTTTGCTGTCAAAATCCATTATTGTGAATTGACTTCCATTATGACATCGTAAACTAAGTCCAAATTTTTGTCATTAGACTTGAGAAAAAACAGCCAGCTTTCGCTAGCTCGATGACATTTTTAATAGCTATCCACTCGATCTCAAATGTCGATTCTATAGCGTATACGTCTCGTTAATCCTGTTCACAAATTCAGTGGATTATATTTGACGTATACACTATAGAATTGACATTTGAGATCGAGTGGGTGTCGTAAATATAAACGCATTTTCGTCTACTAGATTTTAAATGTCAATTCGAAAAGTATAAGATAAGTATAAGATAAGATTAGTTTTGGTAGGAAGGATGACAGAGCGGCTTTCACATTTAACGAGGTAACAATGACACATCCGAAGAGTGTCCTAGCGTTTGGAAGTGGAACCAAATCACTGACGGTACTGGCTAGGTGACCATTTTACACCTGCGTGTAAGCTCAGTCTGTGGGGCCGCAGTTCTTGTCAGTGAGTTAGCCAAAAACCAAAATTCTATTGCCAGCGGATCATAATATAAACTAGCCAGATTGGTTCTGTAAGAGAAAAACCCACCCTCCATTCCTAACGTTTCACTGACAGAATACACCACCTTTAAATCTTTACTTTAATCTACGTTTCCTTACCTTTTGTCCTATTACTCCTCCATGTTTAATAGTTATTGATCATTACAAGTTTTTATCACTTTCCATTCCAGATTCATTATTTGCAGGTGATTTTGTCTAGATGAATGTCCGTCCGTTGTATGTGGCTGAGTGAATGTACATCGTTAAGGTATGTAAGCTATACTATTGTAAAAGATTATATCCTTATTTAATTGTTACCAATATACCATCACTTTTCAGAGCTGCCTACCAGTACCCTTTCTGTGTCATAACATTACAAAATTACTAACTAATTACTTAAGAAAATTATTATAATTTTTTCAAAGTTTTCCTTATTTTTTAAGGTTGTTTAGTATCGTCTGTCCGTCCGTCTGGTCTACAGAGAATACCAGAGCACCAAAGGATCTGGTAGTGCCTAGTTGTGGCCAAAATGTTGATTGTATTTTATGTATATATAATTTTATAAGGACACTTGTCGAACTGGAGGCTTGAAAAAAAATCTTAATCAAATTCCAATCTTCAATGGTTAAGATGTATCCAAAATACAGAAATTTGCGAACCTCTACATCTGTAGAGTATTCGTCGATGGTCAGAAGAAAAAAGGTACAATATTTTCTTTACTTTCCATTATGGTACCTTAGGGCGATTCCCTGTCAGGACTCCGAATACAATGTTTCAATATTCATTATAATTAATTAGCCAACTATCGCTTAAATACGTAATGACCGGGGAACACCACAATAGTTGCACGAGTTATTTTAACCGAAAGTGCATAGATCATCTCGGAAGTGACTGGTCGAAAATGAGGGCGTTTCATCGAGCCGAATAGGTACCACCACAATATATGAAGGCTAATATTGCCGACGTCATACGAAACTCTTAAGTCATCTAAAGCGTTTTACTCGGACGAATTATCAGTAAAATGTTTAAGCAACTAAATGTACCTGGATAAGATTACTTAACAGCTATACTCCACATGTCGTTAGCCTATCTCTACTGCCCCTAGTAGCAATGACGCTGAGACACTACTCCTCTCTCTGATCCGAGAAAGCTGGTTTCCAGTTGCTCAACATCACATGGATGTATATACAAAACCACAACTATATGCAGAGAACTGAACCAGATTGGGCCGTGCAATAGAAAGCCTCCGTGACTTATCAAAAGCCTCCGATACCGTCAATCGCAAAGCTATTCGAGCATATAGAGAATACAACACTTTCATCCGGTTTGAAACTTTGCAAATTATTTATATGTGTAGACGCCAGACATATACTTGGACAGCTGAAATTTAGATCCTGCTGAAAATAATGATCGCTAGAGAGATCTCGATAAGCTGAGAAGTAGGAATAGTGTCGTCAAGTTGCTTGCAAACAGACCTTGTTTGCCTCTTATAAATCAATCCAAATGAAAATGTCCTAAATTCGCGGCCGAAACTCAACCACACAAAGAATTTAAATATATTGATGTAACCGTGACATCGACCTCATCACCATTATTAAATTTTAAAACCAAAAGAGTTTTCTAAACTTTCACAAGAAAAAAATATCGTTATCAGTGAGGCACAAATTTTAAATTTATTCCAAATTGTTCCGAATTAACTATACTTTACTTATACACCGCAAAGGGTATCTTAAGTGTACATACAGCTTTCCTGCTCTCCAATTCGTCAATAATTTCGGCAGATTTATAAGCGAAATCGGGACCGATATATAGGGGCTAACAGAAAACGTGGATCTCCGTAGACAAATTTTTGCAACGCTATTTTGTACCCATAGAAAACTCTCTTTGCCAAATTGCAGTTAATTTGATTGTAAAATGTGTCTAATAGACAAAAAATACCTTAAAATGATAGATACGGTTATATTGGGGCTATATCAGAACTTGGACACAGGGACCCTATTTTCCATTTCAATGTTTGCTTTGACATTAAAAACATGTGATCAAAATTTTGACCGCCTATATCAAGTGGTTGCCAGTTAATGAGTTTATACCCAACATTTGGGTAAATACTCAAATTGGGGGTACCTTTGTATGGGGGCTACCAGAAAACGTGGACTCACATCTATAAATTTTTGCATGGATATTTAGTACCCAGAGAGAATTCTCTATGCAAATTACAGACAATTTGATTGTAAAATGTGTCTAATAGACCAAAAATACCGTAAATCGGGAGGTACGGTTATATGGGACCCTATGGGAGGTACGCTTATATGGACCCAAAGACCCTATTTTCCATTTCAATATTTGCTTTGACATTAAAAACATGTGAGCCAAATTTTGGCCGCCTATGTCATGTGATTTACCAGTTAATGAGTTTATATCCAATTTTTGGGTAAATACTCGGGTATTAACCCATGTCTTTAAAGTATCGCAAAACTATCCATTCTAAATCGATTTGATAACAGAAACCCCGGAAATAGGGTCTAATGCTGCATTTACATTAGAACTGGGATAACATACTTTATCAGGATTTATTTGACATATATACAATGAAATTGGCAATTCAAACCCACTGGGTTAATGAAATCCGATTAAATGTAAACGTACTATAAGATGCTGTATCACCGATTCAATATAGTAAATATAAAAAAAAATACCCACAAATGGGTATTTACCCAATTTACCGTCTCTACTTATTAACTCCTCTCCTTACTAGCTCACCTGACGTTCATTTTTAATGATCTCAAAGTTGTGTACATAACCTTAATTTATTTTCAGGATTTCGTAGATCCACGTCATATAAAGTACGTATGTAAATGCGCTATTATATTTGACAGAAGCGGCTTCTTCCAGCAACAAAGTTGATTTATTTTTATTCACCTCAAGATATCCTACCCTGTATTATTGTACCATGGCAGCGTCGGCAACACAAACGAGACAGAACGATGAATAAGTAAATTGACTAAAGTAACTAGACGATGAAATAGCTAGGTCTAGATCCGCCGATTCATTTCACAGAGTCGTTCATTGTTCGCAACGTTCAAAACGTTTTTAGATTAGGTCGTTCATTTATTTTGCATCTGGCTGCTAAAAATACACTGAACTCACCGTTCGTCCAAAGGGAATAGGATCAAGTCATACAATTTTGTATGAAATCCTGCTGGAAAAGCAATTTCAACGCAACAAAACATGTCATAATCAAGCAAGAGATTAACGCAATCCCATAGAAATTGTATATCTAATTGTAGTATCATTAGTTTAACGAATTTATAAATATACGTACATATAGACAAAAATAGAGAAGGCGGCATGGCGAGTGTAACAACCATAAATTGGCTATTTATATGTGGCCTATTTTTCTGTTTGGGCGGTGTTGTGGTGCTAAGTTTTATGTCACTGCCCTCAGGTGAGTTTGATGAATTAGTTTTGTAAATTGGAAACATAACCAGAGTGGTTTTTTTCATTGCAGATTGCATTTGTCCCATAAGTCGACCCAAGCCAAAAGAATCGGCCGACTTGTTGAACAAACCACCGGATCAATTACAAGTTGTACATAAGTTAGCTGTGTTAGTGCCATTTCGCGACCGTTTCGAGGAGCTGCTACAATTTGTGCCACACATGACAACGTTCCTAAAGAAACAGCATGTTCATCATCATATTTTTGTTTTAAATCAAGTTGATCGTTATCGCTTCAATCGCGCCTCTCTCATTAATGTGGGCTTTCGTTTTGTGAGCGGAGTCTATGACTATATTGCCATGCATGATGTTGATTTGTTGCCCTTAAATAATGATTTACATTATGATTATCCCAGCGATGCGGGGCCATTGCATATTGCCGCACCTGAGCTACATCCCAAATATCACTATGAAAACTTTGTGGGTGGCATTCTGTTGGTGAGAAATGACCATTTTGAGAAAATGAATGGCATGTCGAATAAATATTGGGGTTGGGGTCTGGAGGATGATGAATTTTTTGTTCGAATCAGAGACGCAGGTCTGAAGGTGACAAGACCGCAGGGTATAAAGACTGGTGTAAATGATACCTTTAAGTAAGTTCACCAAAATCGTATCGATGTGCTTCTGTTTTAATATTTATGTTTTCATTTTGATTTATAGCCACATACACAATCGTTATCATCGCAAACGTGATACTCAAAAGTGCTTCAATCAAAAGGAGGTAACTCGTAGACGTGACCGTGAAACGGGCCTCAATACTCTGCAATACAAAATAACCAAAGTCCATGACATGCTCATCGATGGCACTCAAATAACCGTACTCAACATTGAACTGGAATGTGATTTGAATAAAACACCATGGTGTGACTGCAGTGGTAATGCCCAAGCCGCTGCCGAAGAACAAATGAAACAGTGATACTAATCAAATAAATCGCCATCATTAACACAAATCAATATTTTCTCTTTTTTGTCCTATATATTTGTTGTTTGTATTTATTTCTCATTATTTTTTTTAAATTAAACCTAAGCCACATAAAAAGTCCATAGAATGCATATGATGATTATTTTCTAGTATACATGAACCATGCCATAGAGGAATGTCCAAAATAGTACATAGGTACACAAGGCACCCATGAAACTGTTGGTCAACAAACTTTGACGATTGATAAAGAATTTTCTCCAATGGGTGCCAGATTTCATTAGGACCAAAAGCCACAAAATAAATACGGACAAAAAGTAGAACAAGAATCCCAGTAGGCCATTTAAACCCAATATTCCTAAAAACAAACAGAAGCCAAGCATTAGTGATAATTAAAATGTTTATTGGCATAAATGTGTACATACCCGCAGCACAGCCGGAAATAGCTGCCATAGATGTACGACAATATTCCACAGCAGAAATGTTATTGCGTATGGCTGCCTCGCTGTAAGCAATAAGCTCGCCGGTTTTAGATGCAGTTGGTTTTACACGTTGCATTTTGAAATGATTTTTAATTTATTTATTTAATAAAATGTTAAAAACTTGCAGAAACACGACACAGTGAACTACGAACTCATCCACCAAGAAAAATAATTGAAGACTGTCAAAAACAGCTGTGCGAGAAATGTGTTCAGTAAGCATAAGTTAGGGATCTGTAATTCGATTTTCAGTAGAAAATTGTGAAATACTCAATGATAATTTATTGGTCTGTTCCTGTAGTGCAAGAATCTACGAGATTTTAATATTGTTTTCGATATCATAAAGGAAAAAAGTGTTATCGTAGTAAAAAATAGTAGATTCTTGCAGTACGGGAACAAACCTTATATTAATGAAGTCCTGTTCTAAAACCAGAAAAAAAAATATTTTTTAAACAACTTAAAAACAAAATGTCCGTCCAAGAACCTCCAAAAATGTAATTTTTTAACTAAGATATCAATTTTTCATTTATGATATCGAAACAGACCAAACTTCTACATATGTATGAAGACATCAACATGAGCCTGAAGATACCAACTGACCTTGTTCTGAATTGAATTTAACAAACCGTTTCTTTCAGTTTTAGGTAAACGATCCCGACCTACCTCTGGTATTATTCGCCCTTGAAGGACACAATGGTAAAACATATAATTCCTCCAATTCAAGGAGAAACATCAAAGCTTGTTGTTGTTATAACAGGTTAGATGTTGATAAAAGTTCTTTCCTGAAAAAGTTGATAGAAAAAAAACTGAAAAAGGAAAATATATTAATTCATTATTAGGAAATCGGATTTGAAGAAGGTAGCCGGAGAAATTGTGCCACCTCAATCGGCTTTAGTCATAAGTCTATGGCGGAGACCGCCACTTGATGAAATCTGTTGACGTCCGATGGAATGACGTGGTTAAGATGACACGCTGATAGCATGCCAGCAGGAACTGTCTAGTCAAAAACACATTATGTTGCTTGTCTGACAGCATCCTGGTCTCCTCATGGAGGTGATCGACGCTCGTCATCTGGACACAGCCGGTTGCAATTCGGAGTGCATTATTTTGGGTTGTTTGCTAGGGTATCCATTGTGTCTCACTAATTAAAGAAGTCCAGACTGGGGCAACATAATTCAGGATGGAACGAGCTATAGCCTTATAAGACGTTACCAACGTTTATTTATCCTTGCCCCAGGAGGTGCCAGACAAAGCTTTCAGAACTTTATTCCTAGCTTTCACCTTCTGGTTGATATAATTGGAATGCGAGGAGAAATGAAGGAGGTTATCGAAGACCACCCCAAGGATTTTCGGATTGTGGACGGTGGGGATGCGCCTACATTCAACGGAAATGTCAAGTTATAGATTGACTTCTCGCGTTCAGGAAGTGAAAAGTGAAACAGTAGACTTTGCAGTGGATAATTTTAAATTGCGCTCCCCGAAGAAGTTGGTGATGGTGGCTAAATAGTTGGAAATTCTTGCACCTACGTCGTCAAATAAATAATCTTTCACCACTGAAACATCTGGTGGAGAAATGGGGAGTTTCGCAAGATACATGTTCAACAAAATGGGATATAGGACACCGCCTTGCGGTACTCCCATTTTGATCTTGAGATATTGTATCGATCTTGGAGAAGATGGAACTTTAACTGCATAAGGTTTAATGCGTCTTACGACTGTAGATTCAAGATATTCATAAATTTTTTAGTCTTCTTGGGTTTCGGGGCTTGCTGAAATCAAAGTGAGTGAAATAGGTAATGAGTTCGCTCGTAATATATCATAATCAATCGATGAGCTGTTAAACCGCCATAAGTGACTGAGTGCATTAAAAGTACATTTACATATACGAATTTAAATCGACTCGATTAACGAAATCCAGAAATACAATGTCAATCGGCTGATATTTGTTAGTATACATATACAATTATTAATTTGCGCCAAAAATATTTGTTTGCAATTTGAAAATGAAAAGGAAAATTACAGCAATGGAGATGTTTTTCCAATGCTATGACCGTTTGGAAAGTAAATAAATCACAAATCAAAAAATCTATAAATAATTTTTATTTTCCTTTGACCTTTATTTTTTTGTTTTTGGCAACCGTTACATTTAAAAACAAACAACATGTGAAAAAAGTTGAAAATTTTGGTACATTGTGAGGGAGTTGTATTTTTTCGTACAAACCCCGCCTTGAATTTCACAAAACCTGTCGGTGATTTAAATTTGTATGATAAATCGTGGTAAATTCAGTTTGATTAAGAAAATAAACCCTGATTCAGCTTTTAATCATGATTAAATGTTTTATGTATATCTGCTTTAAAAATCTATATTTAATCATGTCATGACAATCATATGACAACCGGCGGAGAAAAGAGAATGGAATGAAAATTACAAAAATATCATCACAAGCAAGAATTTTTTCCTGAACCGCCAACTCGTCACTGGTTTTATGGCACTAACTCCTGGTAACATAAAACTCATTAATCGTCTTTTCACAGGACACACCTATGGCAAAACTTACCTGTTTTTAATAAAGGCTGTAAATTCCAACATATGGTTTTCCTATTTCCATCTCTGCAAAAACTTCTGTTTAATTTGTGCAAATTCATTAAGAAAAACAACATACAACTATAATACGCACACACCACTAGAAGAAAATACCAATAAAAGGAACTAACAATCGATAACCGATAACTTAGCAACTGGTACATGAATACTTCGGGTATCCCAAAATCAACTGTCGAGTCCAAAAAAAAAAAAAAAAAATAATGACTTAGCCAAAATTCAACCTATACATCCCTAATATATAACAGTTGCTTTTGACATTAAACTTTGTCAATGAATTGTCCGTCGTGAAGAAAAAAATTAAAAAATAATTAAGAATAATGGACCTAATAAAATCATAAAATTGACACTCTGCTTAGAAATTGGAATCATAATGAAATTCGTTATAAAAGTAAACTAAAAAAACATTGACGAAACCACAATTGGCTATTTGTAAACAACAACAATAACAAACATATTCTAATTGGAAAATTTGAACAAACAACAACAAAAGCAAGCAAGTAAACGGAGGGACACTGATTGTCGATGAGCTATCAAAGATGTCACCTACGAACAAAGTGTGTGCCGTGTGTGGAGATAAAGCATTGGGTTATAACTTTAATGCGGTAACATGTGAAAGCTGTAAGGCCTTCTTTCGCCGCAACGCCTTGGCCAAGAAACAATTCACCTGTCCCTTTAGTCAGAATTGCGAAATCACTGTGGTCACTAGAAGATTCTGTCAGAAATGCCGTCTGAAAAAATGTCTGGACATTGGCATGAAGAGCGAGAACATAATGTCCGAAGAAGACAAAATGATAAAACGACGCAAAATAGAAACAAATCGCGCCAAACGTAAACAGACAGAGCGTGGTCAAACAGGCGATGCCGACGATGAAGGCAGTACAGAGGGTCAAAGTAACATTGCCGCAGCGGCTGCTGATAGCAGTGGTTATGATGCCGGATTGGCGGCAGCTAATTATGATTCGCAGAGTTGCGGATCATTTGACAGCAATACAGGCTCGGCAAAAGTATCTGCAAATGCCACATCAACCTCCAGTGCAACTTCAGGTGATAATATGTCCAATATTAACCCGGAACTTATGACGGGCGAGGAAATGGTGGAATTTATTGTTTGTGATCCAGATCGTGCCTCACAAGCTATTAGTAAATTAATGCGTACGCCAGCTGAAGCCATGACAACGTTGGAGAAAATAATCAGCTCACAGAAAGATGCTTTGCGGTTGATATCACACCTTATCAACTATCCAGGTAAATAGGCCTGCCTTATCAGCTATAAACCAGTTTATTTTAACCAACTTTTTATTTTTACTTTCAGGCGATGCTCTAAAGATTATTAGCAAATTTATGAACTCCCCATTTAATGCCTTAACAGTATTCACCAAATTCATGAGTTCACCCACCGATGCATTAGAGATAATATCGAAAGTTGTTAGTTCGCCGCAGGATGTCTTGCAATTCATTAAAAATCTAATGGATTCGCCTGAAAATGCTGTCGACATAATGAACAAATTTATGAATACACCAGCCGAGGCATTGAAAATGTTGAATCGAATTTTAAACAATGGGGGTGAAGATACGCAAGCGACAGCAACTAGTAGTATTGAATCGGGGTCAAAAAGCACCCCACCTCAAGATACTACGGTGGAGCCTAAGAACGAAGAACAAATTAACATGACAAATACATTAACACCGCCTATAACGACGATAATAGCCAAAACTACATCACAAACGACCACAACAAATAATGCTTTAATACAATCCATGCTTAACTATCCCAGTCCAAATGATTTAACTTCAAACATTTTACCACCCGTAACACCACCATCACCCAGTACGCCCTTTTCCTTGGATTGTAATAACTATGTGACACCGTCACCTTCATCGGTCACGGAACCTTTATGTATGGTGGCATCATCATTGGATTATCAAAATCCATCACCAGGCATTACGAACAGTGGACCCTCATCGATTTTATCCTCACACGCCGATGAACAACCAAGCACATCAAATGTAGGCCTACTATCGCCGTCAGACGTTGATGCTGCAGCTGCTGCCGAATTTGCCAGTGAACATTTCGATATCAAAACATTTATACAAAATTCATTTCCAGAAAATGCTACAGGTCATTATGCACCTGGCGATAGTTTAAATTCATTAGAATCGGTACTAACCGAAGTGATACGTATAGAATTTCAAGCATTCAATAATTTACCGCCTGAACCTCGTGTTAAACAAGAACATTACCAGAACAATAATACAATGATGAGTTTCAATAGCCCACTATATGATGCGGCAGCAGCAGCAGCGGCTGCGACTACTGTTGGCTGTGGAAAAAATATAGCATGTATGCCACAACAACAACAACAGCAGCACCAACAACCGTTACAATGTCAACAGCAACAGGTGTGCTCACCGTCTAGTGTCAATATGTCGAGAGATTTAAATGAAACGGAAATTATGAAATTGCGTGAATTGAAATTGGCCAGTGAAGCACTTTATTTGCCGGTCGATGATGATTTAAGTGTTTTGATGAGTGACGAAAGAATAAAGGTAAGTGGATTTTGGATATTGACGAAATATAGATTTTTAATAATATTCAAAAAATTTAAATATAATGCTACAAAAAAAAGGAAAGCAGTCGTGCAACTGCTTTAGAAGAATTGTAGCACGCAAAATTTTGGACTGGGAGTAGATAGCTACCTAGTCCGATAGCTACCTAGTCCGTTTTGTCTTTGTACATATGTTTGTAATAGGCAAAAGACACATGGTTCCTTTTGTGAGTCGATTTATGCATATCCGTCCGTATGTCTGTCCATGTTAAATTGTAAACAAAGTATAGGTCGCATTTATGATCAGAATTGGATTATTTATTTGTCCCAAGGACGAACCCTATTGAAATTGGGAAAAGTGGGTTCAGATTAACATATAGCTCCCATATATAGTTTCGTCCGATTTTAAGTAAATGGTACACCAAAGACCTAAAGTTAGACCAATTGACGCAAAATTTTGCACAGCGTATTGGAGTTAGTATAGCCTAACATGTGTCAGATTTAAATATAGCTCCCATATTGAAATTGGGAAAAGTGGGTTCAGATTAACATATAGCTCCCATATATAGTTTCGTCCGATTTTAAGTAAATGGTACACCAAAGACCTAAAGTTAGACCAATTGACGCAAAATTTTGCACAGCGTATTGGAGTTAGTATAGCCACCGTGTGTCAGATTTAAATATAGCTCCCATATATATATTCATCCTCCCAGTTTCTTTGAGGTCCCATATTATTATTGATATAGACCCGATTCCCTTTGCTTAACTCTTTCAGGTCTGGATTACTCACTTCCATACCTTTCATAAATACTCTAAATGTTTTCCATATTATTGGAAAACATAAGTTCTCCATTAACCATTAGATTAATACACTTCGGTCCCTAGTATTTTATTTGAAATCAATCGTGTCTTAAATTAAATATCCATTATTAACCCATACATGAGTTAGAATCTCTCAGGTTCTTATTGTAGTTGAGGAGCCGACCCTAAGGGAAGAGTTTCTCCAAGTCAATCGTCTCCATTGAACCGGCTGCCATCGGGTTGATATATTGTAAACCCTTCTATATCCTCAGATTAATTCAAACCTAACGTTTTGGTTCCTACTCCCACAAATATTAGTAAACCCGTATTTTAGTTTAGAATAAAGGATGTTCAGCCATTCATTTAGCAGCTCTTTTCACTTGGAGACCCATCAATTGTGCCCTGTTTGATTACCTAAAAAAGAGAAGATAGAAAAAATGGAAAAGGAGACGAAGAGGTTAGATTTTAAAGCCTAATTAAATCTATTCTGAAGAAGAATAGTGTGTGACAATCTCATCTCTATCAAACAGTCTATGCCTTCTCCTACATAGCGCTGGACATTTATATATAATATATGTTAAATTTTTGCCAGGTCCACCTCATTCTCAGATAAATTACAGTACTCTACACAATTGATGTCGCAATTGTGTACGAGCCATCTTTTTTATCCATTTCATTCCCATTTAATAGAAAACCTCACAAGTTGTCTTAGTTATTTCCGGCCAGCTTTTGATCAAATTTCATTTTAAATTTTTTATCTTCAATTGTTTTTTACTTGAGCAAACATTTCTATAGACGATAGATATTACGTTATCATTTTCACCCACTGATTTTGTAATTGAACACCTGTTGCTGCATGGTGACCTGCAGCTTAAGACTATATCAATCAATATATTTGTATGAGTCAAAAATCATCAAAAAAAATTTCCAGTAATTTGTAAATAAATAATCCATATCAGTCTGGTGTTAATGTGCTTATCAAAACTTTTCACAGTCATTTAAAAACAAACTAAACCGCCGTACACAATACTCCTCTAGTTGATACAATTTTTGTTGTTGCTATTGTTGTTTTCCTTTTTGTTGTTGATAAAAACACCTGTTGAACGTATAATTTTTTATCAATGGCCCGTTATCAATGAAAATATCAGGCCAACAGCAATATCGGTTAGAGGGTTTGATATGAACATTATTATCATTATCTATCTTACCATACGATATTATTTTTATTTTTTTTTGTCATTAATTTAAATGTTTATCATTTCACAGATAGGTGACTACTGCATGTGTAGGTATGTTCATGCAATTAACACTTCAAGGGATTACACTTGCTCATCATCGTCATTCTCCAAATGTCATCAACAATAAAGTTAATTTGAATGGGTTGATAGTAATGGCTCGATCGATATTGTTAATCGATATTATTATAAATTATAGATTCTATGCACATTCATCACAAAATGTGCATTGAATATGGAATAAGGATGCAATATCATTAATATACAACATACATTACTAGAATATAAAACATAAGATCATTGTAAAGTTTTAGGCCTTTAGTTAAAGCATTATGCGCTGGATGTATGGTGATGAGCGGTAGTTAATACAAAGCATTTTTTTTTTGGACATTAGTAGGCAGATTTAGATAAGATATTTCTCCTTTTATTGTGCCTACAAAAAATATACATTTTTCAATGATTCACGATTTTATATTTTGTCGACTTAGATTAGTAGCATTGAAGTTGAATAATTTAATGTCTTTGTCTAGCCCCGAAGAATTTTTTTAATCAAATATGTTTTGTACTAATCCAACAATCGATTTGATATAATAAATGCCATTATTAAACGACATTTCCTCACATACTGCATACAGGTTTCGGCCTTCATCAAAAGCCCCATCTTTTGAATTTTTATTTTAAATATTTATTAAGTTGAAAAATTGTGTATTGATTTCTACTAATTCTTGCTATTTCTGTTACAATCGGACCTTTGTTTTCGATATTAAGGGTGATTTTCCCAATGTTAGGTGTACTGTACACAAATTGTTGTCAATTTTGATAGATTTCTCAATTTTCTTATTTGTACCAACGACAACATCAATTTGTTGTTTTAGATATTTTTTTCAAATAAATTGCCAGTTTCAAATGTGTGGCCACTTTGAAATCGATGTTTTTTCACAAAATCCGTTATTTATATAAAAACTGCTCGCAATAATTTTCTATCTTCACACTAAATTTCTATAGCACACTATATATAGAAATAAAAAACAATTTAAAACAAGTAAAAGAGTGTCAGTCGTTGTTGTCGACAGATATATACACTTAGCCTATGGTTTTCGGATTTAATGTTGATAAAACTAGCTTCAAATAAAATTTAAAAGTTTATATAATATATACCATTTTTGGGGGTGGCGCTTGAGGAGAGTGCAGACGGGTCTCAACATCGGACTTGATCTAGGCTTGATAAAGATAATAGATTGTGCAAAGTTTGGTTCAAATTGGGCTTTCCATTCGCTTGATATCGGATTTATAAATATTAAAAATTTTTACTCTTTGTGGGGGAGGTACCATAAGAAGTGGAACAATGGGTCCCATCTTTGAACTTGGTCTAGGCTTGGTACAGATAATAGGTTGTGCAAAGTTTGGTTCAATCCGAACTTTCCATTCGCTTGATATCGGATTTATATATATAAAAAATTTTTGATCAAATATATTTTGTATTACTCCAACAATCGATTTGATATAATAAATGCCATTATTAATCGACATGTTCTCACATACTGCCAACAGATACCAGTCTTCTTCAATAAAGCCTTTCGAAATCGTATCATTCCCCATGTTTTGAATTTTTATTTCAAATATTTATCAATTTTAAAAATTATTATATCTACTAATTCTAGAAATTTCTGGTACCATCGGACCTTTATTTTCGATATTAAGGATGTTTTTCCCAATGATAGGTGCACTGTAAAAAATTTAACAAATATAGATAGATTTCTTAATTTTATTTGTTTCCACAAATTGCCAAATAAAATATGCCACTTTAAATATGTGGCCACTTTTAAGTCCATGTTTTTTTTTTTGCACAAAAACCGTTATTTATGGAAAAACTGCTGGCAATAATTTTCTTTCTTCACACTAAATCTCTATATATAACGGGAGTCTCATAAGTCCCAGTCTCCGCTTCGACAGCCAACTGTCTGAGAAGTCTCGCGACGTCACTACCGGCCATGGAGATGGAGTTCGGATCCCCAACCTCGCCAGGGTTAACACCCCTACTCATCATCTGGGAGGACTCACTTTGCTGATGAGACACCATGATAGCTACGGTGTTCGTCACCGTAGTGCTAATCACTGTAGTTTCCATGATGTCTTCCTTGGCTGACAAGGGTGAGTCGTCCCAGAGTTAATTAGGGATGCTCTCCTGATTAAGGCGGAAGGAGCCGGTTTCCTCTAATAAATTGAGGAGAAGATCCGTCTGCCTCTCCATGCTTTTGTTCACGTCATCGAGAGTCACATGATTTGAGGTAAAAGAGAGGTCCAGGGGATGAGGTTGGGTCATCAACATGGGGGTTCATTGAAGTCTGAGTTCGACACTGAGGGGTGCCTAGGCAGCCACACAGGCATCAGTCGAAAAATAGCATACCATATTGTTTTTGTTGTTAGAAGGCGGGAGTTATTAAAATTCGGCTTTATAGAAAATGATTTTAGTGAGGGATCAAGCCTCCGTTCTAATACAGTCGCTGCCCTGACTGCAAACCGTAGAACACTGATGAGCACGAGGTCGCATGACATCCCAGCGTTAGGGGGGTCACTTTAAGAGGAAGTCACCCAGACCTTTGAGATGGGTATTTAGAGGCTCCATTCTCGCTTCATCAGCTCAGGGATCATAGGTCATTTCCTCTCCCTTTGAACCCGCTGATTGCCCGCGACTGCAGGATGTGCCGATGGTTTATCAGCCCAACTATTCAAGACCGGTGGTTAGATGCTGGTCAGGAACATGCACCAGCTCATTTTTACAATTTGACTAGAGAAATGCATGCCCAATGATTGGAACCTCAGCATACTTTGTCCCGTAAACAAAAAAGATGACAAGACAATATGTGCCAACTATAGAGAAATAAGTCTCCTTCCCATTGCATATAAAGTGCTATCCAGCGTGCTGTGTCAACGACTGAAGCCAATGGTCAATGACATTATTGGACCATACCAATGCGGCTTCAGGCCTGCAAATCCACCATTGACCAGATTTTCACTCTGCGTCAGATACTGGAAAAAAACCGCGAAAAACACATCGACACATTCCACCTATTCGTCGACTACAAAGCCGACAGCACTTTCTGTTCAGAGGTGTTTAAAGTCATGTTCGCATTCGGATATGCAGGATAACTTTAACTGGTACAATGTCAGCAGTTAAAACAGGAAAGGACCTCTCGGAGCTCTTCAAAACCGAACGAGGATTCAGACAAGGACCTGTGACCTGCTCAACATCCTGATGGTTCTCATACGAGATGCAAATGTGAACAGAAATGTCACTCTGTACAACATATGTTACTCGCCTACGCCGACGACATCGACATAATGGTTCGAGCATTGCTAGCGGTAACAGCCACATTTGAATGAATTGAGCTGAGTCTGCCAAAGTGGGATTGACGGTAAATGGCGTAAAGACCAAGCTGATGGTATCAACGCGCAAGTCATCCAGTAGACTCGGACCAATTGTGGAACTCGAAAACTACAGCTTCGAGGTAGTGAACGATTTTATATACCTAGGTACCGTCATACAGAAAATTAATAACATCAGCTTTGAAATCCGGAGGAGAATAATGTTGGCCAACAGATGATACTATGAGCTGAGTAAGCAAGGCCACCTTTCGCCAGAACAAACTCACGCTACAAGACGCTGATATTACCCGTGCTGTTATATGGATCTGAAGCAAGCAGATGAGGAAACTCTTGAAGTGTTTGATAGAAAAATTCTCCGAAAGATCTATCGACCGATCTGCGTCGATGGTGAATATTGCCTTCAAATGAACCATGAGCTATACCATCTATTTTCGAACATCGACATAGTCAGACGGATCGAGCTGCAGCGACTACGTTGGCTAGGCCACCTTGAGAGAATGGATGAAAATGCCCCCAGCTCAAAAGGCATATAAAAGCGAGCCAAGTGATGGTTCACGCAGAAGGGGTTGGCAACGAATCCGATGGAAAGATCAAGTAGAAGACAACATCTCGAAAAATGATCTTTCAAATTGGATGAGATGCGCACAAGACCGACGCGCCTGGCTTTTTTTAAGCTCGGCTTATAGAACAACCGTTCTGCCATAAGCCAGATATGTAAGTAAGATCAAGTCCGAAGATGGGACCCATTGGTCCACACTTTCTGGTACCTCCCCCACGAAATGTCAAAATTTTTAATATTTATAAATCCGATATCAAACCAATAGAAAGAACGATTTGAACTAAAAATTGGCACAACCTAGTATTTTTACCAAGTCCGAAATTGGGACCCTTCTGTCCTCTCTTCTCACCACCCCCAAAAAGGGTCGATATTATATAAACTTGTAAATTTTATTTGAAGCTAATTTGATCAACATTAAATCCGAAACCTCCTTGAACATATAGCTTATATAAAAAGAATAATAAAACCTATTTGTAACTCTGAAGAAATCCGAAAACCATAGGTTGAGAGTATATATCTGCCGGCAACACCGATTGACACTTTTCCACTTGTTTATATTCGGTTGGGAAAAAAGTCCATTATTTTTTCGGCAGATGAATGTACCGATATATTTCTCGTAAAGTATCGATCAAACAATTTCAGATTTATGCTCGTTGGAAGGGTGACACTTCGCCGTAAAAAAAATATTTTGCTGTTTTTTGTTTGGTGCTTTCACAGTACTTTTAGATGGTTATTGGAGCTGATACTGAACAATTTATTAATTTTTAAGTAAATACATTTCTATTAAATACTTTTTATAAACTTGTAGAATTTTTTCCCCATATAAAATCATTTACAGCCAGGTGATAGTAATCAGGATCCCAAGTTATTACAAGTCATCAATTTAACTGCCGTTGCTATAAAACGTCTAATTAAAATGGCCAAAAAGATTGCCGCTTTTCGTGATATGTGTCAAGAGGATCAGGTGGCCTTATTAAAAGGTGGATGCACAGAAATGATGATTATGCGATCGGTGATGACATATGACTATGATCGCAATACTTGGAAGGTATTATAACATCTTTCAGATTTCTTTTGAGTGAATATTAATTAATTTTTTTTTAACAAAATTAGATACCCCATACCAAAGAAGATATGTCCAATATTAGAGCTGAAGTTCTGAAATTGGCCAAAGGCAATGTATACGAAGAGCATATAAAATTTATCAGCACATTCGATGAGAAATGGCGAATGGATGAAAATATCATATTAATAATGTGTGCCATTGTATTGTTCTCACCAACAAGGCCGCGTATTATTCATTCCGATGTCATCAGATTGGAACAGGTGAGTTTGTTTACACAGCTCGTCATTTGTTTTTATTAAAAATTAAATTATTTTTTTTTTTCAATTATTCTAGAATTCCTATTATTATCTTCTGCGAAGATATTTGGAATCTGTTTATCCCGGTTGCGAAGCTAAATCAGCGTTTATAAAACTAATACAAAAAATATCAGACGTTGAACGTCTGAATCAATTTATTATTGGTGTCTATTTAAATGTAAATCCATCACAGGTTGAACCTTTATTAAGAGAAATATTCGATTTGAAAAATCACTAAAACCCAAAATTCATATTGTATTTATAGTTGTTATTGTTATATACCACACATGTCCTTTTATATTAACTTTTTTTAGTTTTAAATATATATGTTATCTATCTTTAAAATATTTCTAAGCATCAAATGCTCTGCAATGCCTATAATTTAATTATTTTTTAATTGTACAACAGAAAAATAGTATTAAAAATTAAATGTTTTTTTCTTTCGTTAGTGTCTATTTTGTACTTGTGATAAATGTACAAAACTGTTAAAGAAGTAACCTAAAAAAATGTGTATAACAAATAGCTATCTTTCTATCTATATATAAATATATTTACACACGTTATATGATGTATGTCTACAAAAAGAAAAGAAAAAATGCAAATATTTTATTTATCTAAAATTAATTTTACTGTGCAATAAGAAATATTTTAAGGTTATATATCAAACAATAAAAAATTGATATACGATTTTGCTTTAAAATAAAAAAAAAACAAAACTAAATAAATTAAGTATGGAAACCCGCCATAAGAAGAAATTACTTTATTTTTGAATTCGTGGGCATTTAACTTAAATACTAGCAGTAAAATTTGAAAAAAATACTCAATATACAAAAATTACCCCATAGAACTGTGGAACGCCGTTTAATTTGGAATAACACGAGTTGTACTCTGAAATAACATCAAAACTTCAAACTGGATATATGCATCAAGTCTGTGGATTCGCTGAAGATTTTCAAATGTTTGCTCTGCTGTTTTTTTCTTAATAAATTTGTTTTTGGTTTGAAATGATGGAAGGTTGCTTTCCAAATTAAAACGAAGACATGTGAATCTTGGCTTGGCCACATACTCAGCATGTGTCAGTGCGGTTTTGCTCTTGACTGAGCTACAATCACTAGTTTTTGCCGATCACGAATCAAGAATATCATTCTTGACGTGCTTACGCGGTGTAAATCCTTTCTATAAGATAGAGAGAGAGAGAGGAAAAGGAATGGTCTTCAAAACTTTTTTTTTTTTTTTTTTGTTTCGTACTTCGAATATGGAATATGGCTAATGAGGGTATATACACATTGAAATGGCAAGAATGTGCTTCATCGAAATATTGGTTTTAGACCCCATGTTTCTTTGGACCAAATCCGTTTCAGACAATTTGGAGTCAATTTACAAATGTCTATCCGTCTTTCTGGTCGGCTGGTGCGCACGATAACTCTCGAAGGTAGTATCCGAATTCATTCAAACTTTGCATATCTTAGTATATCTTATTTGGTACCTTCCCCAAAAAATGGTCAAAATTGTGCTAAAAATAATTTTAAAATATCATGCGAACAGACTATGCGATTTGAACGAAACTTTTTACAACCTCTTAGCTTTACTAAGCCTTGATCAAGTAGGAAGATGGGGGGACACATTAAATCCGAAACCTCTGTGATAAAAACATACTTGTATAAAACGAATAATATAACCTGTGTGTAACTCCGAAGTCCACCGTAAGGCTGAGGGTATACGAGGGCAGTTCGCAAAGTTCATAGCCTAGCACAAATAGCGCGGTATAAACATAAAAAAGTTAAGTATTTTGGAAACTTCCATCTCTGTTATGAACACATGTAAAATTTTGTTTTTGTGTAACATGGAAGAAAGGAAGTTGCCAGATCGAAACAAAATTTAACATGTGTTCATAACAGAGATGGAAGTTTCCAAAATACTTAACTTTTTTCTTTTTATACCGTGCTTTTTGTACTAGGCTAAGAACTTTACCGACTGACATTTTTTTACTTGTTTTCTCTCAACCATGTTCGGCTTCGAACTTGAGCATTAAAAAGGCAGCGACCTGTACAGTTTGTGTACATATTGGAGTAGGCTTTAGCTGAGTGGGGTTTGGCTGGGCAACCGATGAGGTTTGGCATGTGTACCATTACCACAATGCCGGACATATGTTATGCACCATGCTAACAATTCGCGAATTGAGGCGTCTACCCCACCCTCATCTCAGTTGGTTTGTCTAGATAGCTGTCGTCCTTCTGCGAGTTTTCTCCGAGGATTATTTTTAACCATTCTTCAGTGTAAATATAATTCAAACTTGTTAATCTAGAGGCTATTTTTTGTACTTCTGGACCTCTCTCTCTAGATCGTAAAAATTCTTCTTGGGAATCCTGGGGTAATTTGTAATTGGAGTTTTTACACATTTCAAAGTTAAATATAAATTACGTTTGAATTCCTCTATTCATCTACATATACATGCCTCTTCACGATTAAGTTGAACGAAAACACTTGTGTTTATTTTTTTGTGATTATTCTTTTTATTTTATTTATAATTTAACTGATAATTTTACTTATCCAACACCATTATTACAGAGTAGAGCGTTAACAAAACACTTGTGTAATGGAAGGGCACACAAACATAGATGTAATATAAAAACAAAATACAATTTACACAAAATAACGATTCAAAAATAAAACCCCCCTACTACAAAACATTAACAAATACTTTTGTTTGTTGCCAATTTAATGCCCGCTCATGTTTTTCAACAGATTTCTTTTTTGCACACTTGGTGTAAAACACTGCATATAAAATTAAATTTTTTCCTTAGTTTCAGATTTACCACGCAATAAAAAGTTTTATAAAATTTCTATGTTAACTATGCTCTTCCATTATATACAGCTAAAGCTGTATAATTTATAAAAATATTCTTTAGAGTACACAGATATATAGAAAATGTAAAGGATAGCCCAATAGAGTCCTTTAAAAAAATGTTTTTTGAGAACAAAATGTTCGGCTGGGTCTGTATACCTTTTAAAAAAAAATTTAACACCATTGTTTTGGTTTAGATTAATAAAAAAATGATCTTGCGACAAATGACAAGTATAAATATATGTGGTAGAGACATCTTGTGAAGCACACATAGTTATCATTTCTTTTTTTCCATTTAATTACAGTCTTTGGCCCATTGTATAAATTCGGGTAATTCACTAACGGTTAAATTACGTGACAAAGCTTTTACACGTAAATTACGATCAGTTGTAATTAGAATCAATTCGGTTTGTATGAAACATTTGCCATCTGCAATGAAAAAAAGGATGGAATAAATTAAATTTCTAATTTATTTTTGAATCCAAAGCATTTACCTTTGATGGTCTCAGTGCTCATGGTTTTGGATAATGCCACAGCGGTAGCCAAAATTTTATCATCATTCGAAACATGTTCCTCCTCGACCAAGGCAAATAATGAGGCATTTATTATGGAACCCTTGGTTGTGGCACACCTGAAAAAATAATTATATAATTTTTTTGTTTTCATTTCTAAAAAAATTAACTTACTTCACATGACTTTTGGCAGATTTAATAAAATCCAATGACTTTTTGGCCCTGGTCGATACATCATCATAGTGATGTATGCGATGTTTTTGCATATTTTCTAGGCTTGACTCCACTTTAACACCCTTTGAAAGGCCATCGAGTTCCTTGACCACTGTTACAAGAAGACCAAAATTTAGTAACTTTCCAAAGTAAGAAAACAACAACATACCAGTTAATGGCACAATTAATGTATAGCGTTTAAACTCATTAACAATGCGTTCAAAATCTTCCAAACAATCAATGAAACAATTTGTATCGGGCAATAGATATTTTGGCCGGACTTCAATGTACAATTTTGTGTCCACAAATTTTAAAATTTCCTATTGAAACAAGTGTTTAACATTTATGAGGAATTTGATTTAAAGATAGATTACTTACCTCCAATTTATTTGAATACATTTTCTTGACATTTGATTTTGCCTCCAATTCACGTTTCAGTTTCGACAATTGTGACAGTTGGTCATTTTCCATTTTACCATTGATGGGGTTTACTTTCAACGATTTATTATTGGCTTTCATTGGCAAAGCATCACCATTGACAACAATATTTTCGGTATTGTTTTCCGAATCATCGCAATTTGTATTATCCCTCGCCTCATTTACATTATTACAATTCTCATTATTATCCTCCTCAGCTGCAACAACATTACCACCAAGTGTCTGGGTACTTTGTAAATCATCCAATGCCTGTTTGATATCTGAATTTAATACTTCAGTAATAAAATGTGATGATGTTTCAACGTTTTCCAAACGTTTGTTATGCATTCTATAGAAGTTTTCAAAATCATAAATGATTTTCAATCTAGCCTTTAACTGTAAACCCTCATCGGATAGGTTATCATCTTTGGGTTTGGGTATTATTGCTGCTGTGGGTGTGAAACCGGCCAAAAAGATATCTTCTTCATATTTAATTTCATTGTCCGATGGTATGGTAAGATTTTCTTCTTTCAATAACTCGAAAAGTTTTTCAAGTTCAGGCCAGGTGTTAAAGTAGATGTGTCTAAAATAATTCAAATATGAATGGGTTTATTATACTGAAGCTATATTTTTTTGTTATTGCGAAATTTACTCTTCATTTTTAATGGGTTCCCAAATATTAACATGGTGCTGTAGCCACAATATATAAATTCTGTTATACTGCAAAACTGTAGTCAAATCCATAAACCTATGCGGAGGGGAATAACACACATTAAGTTATTCAACCATAATAGGGTATGAAGAAATCAAAATATTTACTTTTCATCATCGAATTCCTCGGGATTGTCATTTAAATCGGTCAGCAGTGAATTTGTTTTTCGCAGCAATAGTCCAAAGAATTGATTGCAAAAGTTAAATGCATGATAACGTCGTGTGTCTAAAATAAAATAACCAAAGGTAAATTATTAATTTTCATATCTCGTGTAATTAGACTTTTTTACCTTTATTTAAATTATGCTCCATCACAAATATATTTAAGGCCAATATTTTCAAAAGTCTTGTTCTTGTAATTCCTAACTTGTTATGTTGTAACAAAACATCAAATTGCATTAAAAGTTTGCGTTGGTGTTCCACAATGGTTTCCATGCTAGAAAACAAAAATAAATATAAGAAACTTTGCATATTTTTTAAAACAAATTTTACTTTTACTTACCCCACACCATTAAATAACTTGCCAATGATGTACAGATA